TGAGACTGCATCCTTGCTGCTCGACAAATCATTTCACTCCTGAAGAATCGTCACTATTTAAGTGAATGAGCAGAACAATATTTCGTAAACATTCCAACCTCTTGAATCACTACAGCAAGAATTAGAACTCGCTTGCTTCATTGTCTCCTCTTCTCTTTATTGGAAATTATTCTCCAGAACAACTCTTTGGGGTAGACATCTGTAAAGGTGGATCGCTTCCTCTGAAATCACCAGAGAAACCAGTTGAACTAGTCAGCTTTTTGCGCGCGTTGGGGGCCGACTTCTGGCTAACTCTCAGGCTTCGGCCGCCATCTCACTGCTTGATCCAGCCCATGGTTACACGTGGTGGGCTCACGTCTCACCTCATGCGCAGTTTCTTTAATAACGTTTCCATAAGTTTGAATTTCATAAACTTTATTTTTAGTTTATGTCACTTTATGTATATTCATTCGTTAGCGTCGTCTCTTCTTCGTGTGGCATAACAATGTGAGTGCATTCTTCTCGCAATCATATCTCGGTATCGCGGACTATCGCTAAGTCAACCATTATGATTTATGTTGTTTGCCTTCTAACATTTTGTTCAGAAACCAAACTTAATTTACCTCGATTTGCTAATTACTCGGCGTTTCCTTGAATATTTCAATTGAGGTTCCAAGAATGTATTCATTCGATGCCGTACTAAGTTTATTTATTGTTACTTATTTGATGCCGTTTCAAAGTGGTCTGTGGAGGAATTCGTATAGCATTCAAAATTATTTTGTACTACTCGAAACATACGAATATTATTAGCTGCATTTATTTTTTGAGTTAACAAACTTTTATGCTCCTCCACTTTTTAAATATTTGAGATTTGCCGCATTACGTTCCCGATAAATACCAGTCACAAAATACTAGGTACCGTACGTATTATGAATGTTTAATCTTATTTCCTGTTCTTTAGTTATATGCCTATGTATTCTTTGTCGTTATGTAGGAATACAAATATTGTATCATAGAATACAAATATTGTATTCTTCACATTCAGTAGTGATGTTGCTGATGGTGCGGCTGAGAAGTCTAGACGGGACAACCGGTCCTTGAATGCCTTGCATAATGCATATATGTACTGCCAGGCAACAGGCAGTACCTTGATATTGTTGAACGCGCTGCAGCTTCATACGGGCTGGAAAATTCTTGCATTCTTTTAACTTGAAACAATAATTAAAATAATAACATTGTTCTAGTTCATAAATTTGGAATGTTCACATGATTCATCGTTGAATTTTCAGATGACATTTGCTCACATTTAATGCTATTCAGAGTTGACTGAGGGTTTTAAATAAAATTATAAGTTGTAGCATTAAGCTTTGGCATTCTACTATATGACCGTGAATTTTTATGGCTGGCTTTTCATCCTTAATAGTCAAATATTTTCTAAAATAGCATTTGTAGTTAGGCTGAAACGTGCAGTTAAATTTTTCAGTGCCCTGGACAAAGCTGGAGTTTTGATGATTATTAATATGGTGATTCTAAAGCTCGCCGTAACACGCGATAATTCGTTGACGTGATTGAACTGACAAAAAAATCATATCGCAGACCTGCACGTGTAAATTCTTTGTTGAGGCGTGTGTGTTTTTCTTTATCGTCAAGTTGACCTCTAAAATGATTGTCAGGCGATTTCACTCAAGTTATCCAACTGCGTATAAGGAAGCTATGTGTGTAATAGGTCTGACCTATGACGAATTAGGTGATTTTCGCTTTTTTATTTTTCCTTCTTCAATTTTTTCATGCTACAGCAATACACTCATTTTTTTTATAGTTCAGAGCAATTGCCGTGAACTTCGTAGAAAACTATGGTGCACATATGTATCTCTTAAAAATTGATTGCAATCGAATGTTGAAACAATATTGAACGTTATCTTTAGGTAATTGTCGAATCGGATTTATCAAAACACCAAACAATTGCGTAAAAGATCGTAATTTTCCAACCGTATTTTCAATGCAATAACGTAAGACGCTTCTAGCATGCAGTATAACGGCGTATAGAGCAGATTCAAGATTCAATCCAGATTCAAACTGGTATTCTGCTGGCTGTTTTACCCGAATACTTGTAATAAACTCTACATTCGTGAGTGTATATCTCTTTACTTTTCAAAAAACGTGTTAATATCTGTATAAGGGTGCACATGGAACGAAGTATCTTGAGTAGAATTCATGTTTTCGATTCATTTGAAAGTACTCCCGAGATAGTTACTGTATGTCTATTGTTTAGGCAGTACCTACACTGTTCGGGAAGTCTTGGTGTTAGGGTCATAATATTAATGCTAGACGAGCATTGAATTAGAGATTTACATTATTTAAATTGTCCTTGAAAACTACGTAAAACTGCTGCTGCACATGTGATTTTATTTTTATTTATTTATTTTATTTTACCTGCTAGTTAAACTAGGTAGAGTTTTTATCACGTCGCCCAGTATTGAGACAGACGTATTCTTGATTCTATTTCTTTGAAACCCATATCGTTTTTCCATGAGTTGTGTAGAAGGTATAAGCCATGCTGCTTGGTTAACGAATAATTTTAATTTTTATTTGAATTATTTGGCTCATTAAGTTGCAAAAATTCAAGCTGAGTAAACGATGGATCTGAGGTGGCATATGATGCTGGTATACAAATGGAGTGAAAAACGGTCGCTTCATAATTGATGTCATGAATTTCTGAGAACTATGGATTGCATAGAAGTTATAAAGTCATCTTTGCTTATCTCTGTACAATAGCGTCTATAATGTGACCGCTTTGCATTCACCGAGCTATGAGAAATTGTTTCCTAGTTGAACTTATAGTGAAACATATTCTGTACGTTTGCCGTCTTCACCGGGTGCGTTGACAATATAATTTTCTTTTTTTGGTCAACAAATATCTTTACCGAAACATCCTATTTTGGGGGATTTTTGTTCCGTCATCTGGTCGGTTATCTTCTTGAGTTTCTTGGATCAAATAGCGAAACTAATAAGTTACTTGATGCACAAGCCTCTGAATATTAGTATTGAGTCGTGGCTATTCGTAATTTCGTAAAGGCCCTGATATTTTTCACTTACAAGTCAAGGCTGTGAATGCGTTCATTATTTACGATCGCATCGGACGCTTTATCTTTCAAATTTATTTTATACAGCTAAGAAAGCATATTGTATGTATGAGCAGCAAGTATTAAAATGGTTAATACGAGAAGCAATTAGTCATTTATTCAATAAATATTATATAATATTGAATTTATGACCAGTAAAAATGTATTTAAAAATTTGTTCTAGTTGCTGGTAAATGTTTCTAAAGTAGCAAAGTTCTTTACATTTTTATTCCTACCGTCTTCCAATTTCGTTTTCCAAGAGAACTGCGCCATTACCCAATTTTCATGTATATGCAGACAAGTGCATGACGTACAAATTTGCATTCCACGCGCATGTGGAAAAAAGTTCTTAAAAGTTATTATATCATGAAAGTTATTTTTAAAATTTCTTCATACAAATAATTTTGTAATAATAATTCATTTAATTTTAATAACAATTTATTAATAATTATGGCTCACTTTCACCGAATGAGTTTAGCAAGCCTAGCGTTAAATTTCCGACTTGTCGCTCGATTGTTTCTTCTTAACTTGAAGAGAATTGCGACTTGTATGGAGTTTGCTTCTGTCGTACATATTAAAAGTATTGTGGCAACATGCTTTCTCATGCTATAGTACTCCATAATTATATCCAGCTATGTCATAGAATAGAATAGAAGTGTCGGCGTTGAAGAAATAGGCCCATGGCCTGTTGTTTCACTTCATATATTTTATTCGAGGCAGGAAACTGCAAAGTTTCCATTAAAACATTTATTGAGGATTTAGTTAAATTTTGGATAAAAAGGCTCTGGTTTTCTCGTCTGTGTAATATATACAAAAATATACCTAACTCAGTACTCATTGCAGTGAGTGACAGAGAGCGCATTCTCTCAAAATCGATGAAAACGTGAAGTCACGGACAGACGGACATGACGAGCACAATAGCGCATTTTTTCCATAAATGAGAAATGCGCAAAAAAAAAAAAAAAATGAAATGTATCGAAAACATTTGCTTCAAGATGTATGCATAAATTAAATTAAGAAGGCTAGACAAGTAAAATTAGGCGTGCGCCAGAAATCAAATCAATTTTATTGTTAGAATCTCAATATTCAAAGTAAAATGTTTAGTCAAACATGGTTCTAACGTTGCTTGATACTTGCGAATAATTCGCTTTATGTGCTCTACATGCAAAACTGAATAATAAAACGTGCCGAAACAATGTTTCCCACATAAAATTATGTGTAAGGAAGATCGGAAAATATTATGATTTCGTGCCTGATACGTTCTGGTAAAAAATGTTGAAGAGTGTGACGCAATTTCCAGAGGTTTAGAATAAAATACGTTAAAAAAACTACGTAGGTTTTCGTAGTTACTCAGAGACAGTATTTGCATAGAATTTGTGTACATGATTTTGTCGTGTAAATAGAGTACAAATTCATTACAATTTTCGCTTCGGGCTATATATACTACTACTATCTATATATATATATAGTATAACTTCTGTGGCTATCTATACTTCCAGATGTTTAGAGAAGAATAAGAAATAATAGTTATATTTTCTTTCTCATCATTCTCACCGAACTGTCTTTTATGACTGCGCTGACGCAGTCCCAAATGTTGCCATCACGAAGCGCCAGGCTTTGTTTACAGGATGCGAACTGTTGCCTAGGGATCACCACGCGACGTAATTGGTCTTTCCTCTACGTAAAAACATCCCGAGACCCAAATATTAAGTTATCAGAGCTGTTATCACTTCAGATTTGTGCTAGGCCTAGACGTAAATACCTTTGTAGTATCAGACATCAAGATCTATTGGTTTTAGGAACATAACGTTGTGTCCGATTATATTGTGATAAATGCGATTGCGGACCACGTTGGGCTTCTTGACGGGCGGCTCAGCGGCTGGTCCAGTGATGGTTGAGTCCGTGTCCAGTTCACATCGACGCTCTGCCGCCTGCCTCGTGTGGGGCTTCTTAACTTAGGCCTTCTGCTCGAGAAGCTTCTTTTTCGACATTCAAATCGAAAATTTTAAACAATCTTTCTGAGTAATCATGGGTTCTTTCGAAATTTACGATGATGAACCACACGGTGAGTGTCTAATGTATCTGCGATATATAATTGTTAGAAAGCATTTGATTTTGAGATAGCTTGTTCCACGGTCTTCTGTACTTTTTAATTATTCAATATCTTTTTATCACAATGGCTTTCTTGTATGAAGTTCAAGTTTTTTTCGAGATCGAGTGAATCAATCGATTTGTCATGTTATTCGATATCTGTATCAATTTTTGGCATTTTTGTTGTATTTCGTGTATCTTTGTAAACGATTGCGCTGTGTTATTCTTCCACAGCAATATGAACATGACTAAGTTTACGTTGTTTCAATTTCAATTGGCGATACTAATTCATAATCGATAAATTTAACATTTAAAAACTTTACAAACCAATTTTGTTCTACGTCAATATCTGGAGTGCTGGAGTCGAGCTTGTTAATAAGAGTCAGAAATTTTAAATTTATTTTCTACCATTATTTTGAGCAAATCGACTTCGATTTCTATGCAAAATTCCAACTTCACTCGTCCATCAAAAAACCAGAAATTGCCGGTTTTATATTGTAATATTCTCATTAAGACCGTTTTGAAGGAGATGCGTTCTCATAAATAACATTTTCATCTGATCCAGGCTGAAACTTTTTAATTTCATCTCCTACTTAACGAGACAGTTGTGAAGGAGATGCGTTCTCATAAATAACATTTTCATCTGATCTAGGCTGAAACTTGTTAATTTCGTCTCCTACTTAACGCCATGAGTTGTGCAGTTGGATCTGCATATTGGTAGGGCATACGTCCACTGCTGAAGCTATACCCTCCAGCGTTAGGCTTACGAAGTTCAGGGGAACGTTCTTTATTTCCTTCGTTTGCTTGTGTATTGGAAAAGAAAAGGAAAGATCATAGAAAACCTGTGGCCATGTCTCTGGTCGGTCACGTGGCCACGGCATCACATTTTTTATCAGTGGTTTTTCCTCGCAATAACCAAAACATTTTGAGTGAAGGTTCCAGAAAGGACACGTGTGGGAGTACAATTTGTCGAAGCTATGAAGATTTTGTGCAGTGAATGTCATAGTTTGCGGATGAAGCGAACATTCCGTTTGAAGTCCGTTGTGTGCATGGCTGGAAAAGTCGCGTGGAATAGCTTCCTTTAATTGCCAGGAGTAATGTATTTCTTTGACGTAGAGACATGATTGTATGTACTGCATAATAAACTATATAGAGGTTAGCAAAACTGAACTGAATTCATCGTATTGTGCAAGTGAAGGTTCATGCTTTTAGGAATTGTCGTAAAAATTCGAGAGCAAAACCAGATATCTCCAGAATTCGTTTTTGATAACTGGTCTTTGCAATCGCCTTTGTTTTTGGAGCCTTTGGAAAAAACCTTTTTTTTGGAGGCTCCAAAAAACCTCCAAAACGAAAGGCTCAAAAAAAAAAATCTTTTTTTTGGAGCCTTTTGTTTTTGGAAATAGCCTTTGTTTTGGAAATTCTATTGTGCTATTTTTATCTATTTAATGTGTGAGCAAGCATATATTGGAAGCATTTGCTGAGTTTGGTGCCGCAAACGAAGAGAACGCATGCGTCATATGAACTGCTAGAAGCGTACAAACTGTAACTTAATGTATCCAGTATACGTGTTCAGCCCTTATGATCCACCATCAATAATTAATGGCAAGGCACGGAGCGTCTTTATAAGATATTCTGCTGATGAATTTATACTTTTGCGCAATAGGCTGTGTTCAGGAATCCTGAGTTGAGAAAATCATGCTCTTACGCGACCAAAACATTGAGCTCTATTAATATTTTTCTGAGACGTTAAATGCTTGAGATTATCTCTATGGAATCGCAATGATGGAAAATGATCACACAGAAGTTGAAAATTTCTACTTAGTTTACCATTATATTCGACTCTTATGAAGCGTATTTTAATTGTTAGCAGCACAGATGTGTAGAAGGAATCTTTTCTCGAAAACTCAGCTTGTTCGTAAGGTTTGTTTTTTTTGCGAACAATTTCAGCTACAGATGGCGATTTGATAACCAAACAACTGTGACTCATAATTATGAGTACCGTTAACCTACTTATCCAGTCAAGTGCGTGCGTTGGACCGGATACAACCTGTAACATTTCTTGAGTGCGCATCAACATGTTCAGCGATCAATGGCCGCGTGGCGGTAGCTTTACCAATGCATCAGTATTTAATATTCTATTTAATCGCGCTGCACGCATCTGCTTGTACTTAAAAATAAATATTGTATTCAATATGCTAGTCTTGTATTAAGGTTGGTCAACGCTGAGTCATAAGACATTGCGATTTTGTAAACGCGCGAATTATGCAAGTTAAGAATGATGTTATCTTTGATGAAACCTTCATATATATGATATTAGCGGATACATTGTTGTTTATTACTCTGTGAGAATGTTCTAATGACCGTTATTGTTCAATTTAATCAGCTATATTTCAATGATTATGGTGCAGTGCTGGTTCGATGAACGCTATATGCATGGTGACCTTAGACTTGCCACCCGTGGTCGCCATGGCAACGGAGTACAGTCGTCAACACGTGTTACCATGGCAACCACCCCAGAACTACGTCGTGAATCTCAATGCATGGAGTTGAAAGTTTATTAGGTCATGATGAGATTTGCAACCAGGCTCGTTCATTCAATTTAGGAAATTCTCATTTTTTTGCGCGAATTGCCTGCTCGATGATAAAGCTATCTTTGGTGTCATTTATATTTTATTTGGCAAAAACTCAACTGTATCGTTTCGTACGCTAGAATTTCACCTCATTTATGATTTTAAGACAAAAAATATCTTTGTTAAAAAACGAACCCTTTTAAATCAGTTACCACTTACCAGCCTCGAATAAAAAGTACAACTTTTGTCAGAATGAGGAACGGGCAAGTGCAATATATTTGTTAAATCTTGAATTGTTCTGCAGGATATAACCGACCTCGGTTAACAATTATCAATTTCTGGTGTTCACAACAAGTTAAACTCGTCTGCTTGATCTGACTCGAAAATATCTCAATATAATAATTAGTCAGTCGTCAAGGTTACAAAACGTATATCATTTCTTATTCTATTCATTTTTTTACTTCAAAACATTTTTTCCCTTTAAGAATTATTTCCTTTATTTCGCTCAAATCTTCAAGCTCCCCATAAGTTGACCATCGAAATGACTATTCTCGGTTTTAGTGCTAAATTTTGCCTTCATGAAAATCTATTTCGATTCCAAAGAAGAGCTACTGGCGCTAAACTAGCTACGAAAACGCATTGCGCTCAAAAATCTAGAGCTTACAAATGAATCATTCTACTAACAAATTATCTAACATAAATTAGACTCTACAATCTCCAAAAATGCAAACAAAAGAAATCCTACAATGTAAACTCGGATAACGAGCGTGGCATTTTCCAGAATAGTCCCCAAATTATTTAGAAACATTTATGATGAATATAGTATTGTATATTCTGAGAAATTTGACTAGTTTTTGATTAGGCGCAGGTATCAGAATTACGTTTTTCATATCGTTGCTACCGACGATCACGGCATGCTCGTCGTGTTGATATTTTGCTCACATTTCGAAGCCTCTGACCAAAAGCTTATATTTTGCTCACATTTGAGAGATAAGATATTTTTTGAGATATTCACAAGATATTTTGCTCACATTTGAGCCTCTGACCGAAAGCTGCTGAGCTTCATTACAACAATTCTCAGGGACGGATATGAAATACTCTATTTCAGATACCTCCGTTTCGTATATGTTTGCCAGTTTAATACTGGGTCGAGAATTGAAAAAAGTTTTTGTATAATTTTTATAAAGGTAAATGGTATAATTTTAAGTGTTAATCTATATGTATTTAGACTAATGATAGCATAAAGGTTTACTATCATTCCATAATATTCATTGAAGTATATATAAGAACGTACAATTTGACTGCAGTCAAATAGTGATTAATATCAAGTGATCACAACTCGATGAACTTTTATTTTATAAGTTACTGCTGAGTATTATGTTTCCTATTATTTTCGGGGCCTTTCATATAGCTTTTAATTATCTGATATTCCGAGCACTTCAGCTAATTGATTGATTGCTCATGCTGCAAACTCTGCAATTGGCACGTATCTATTTGTCATTGGAATAAATAGTCCATAGGCATAATTATTCAGCGAGAGGAACGCGTTCAACAAGCATTTCTGTTTATATTACCCTTGCTTACTTAAGTAGGAGTGATAAAGCAGCCGTTCAGCTAAGAGTTCAATAGCGCATTACACACTTCAAAAAACTAATTTGAACGACAAGATGTCATGCAGAAGCGTTCTCTTACGCGCACTCAAACTTGACGCTTCTAGAAATAGGTTTCTGTGCATACGAGTTTTAACCGCTGCAACGCTCGTCTCAGGCTTAACACTGAGGGTATGTAGTGTATACTTAGCATTATTTGGTATATTAATATTAGGTTTAGTTCAGAAATTAGAGATGTGGTATACTTTAGGTTATTAGGTATATTAATATTAGAGTATTAATGTCACGTATTTGCTTTAATCGTAAGTTGACTAAAAATTTAAAAGCTAAGAATAGTCCACAAAAATTCATATCTTTATAGAAAACGTTTTCTATAAAGATATGAATTTTTGTGGACTATTCTTTGCTTTTAAATTTTTATTAATATTAGGTTTAGTTTAGAAATTAGAGATGTGGTGTACTTTTGATTATTAGGTGTATTGATATTAGGTTTAATTTGGAAATTAGAGAAATTTTACCTACTGATTCCTGCAAGAGATTGTTAATATATCTACTTTGTTTCAGCTTTGTTTCCGCGGAAGTTTTCTCAGATATTCTAATATATTTCTAATTTCTAATATGTTTATCGGCAGCAAGAATTCTGATGGAATACACCGCAGTGCAGATAGTATTTCACTGCATCATGCTGGTGAATGGATTCGTTTGAATTAGAAAAAATTTTATGTGGACCCGAGATTCATAATTCAACATACCATTATTTTATTTTCCGTACACAATGATTTTTCAAGTTTTTTTTTCACGGTTTATTTACGATTACGTACAAGTAGAAGCCTCAGACGGCTTATTTTGATGTCAATACCCAATTTCTTTTCGCGTACTCTTATTTTTTAATGAACAAAATTCAGTAGGTATAATGTCTGTAGCATTTTATCTCGATGGAAATGTTAATAATTTTTTTTATATACGGTACTCTATTCTTGAGCAGGGCTCGGTATATACGGCTGCTCATGTCTCCACCATGGAGCGTTGGCCGACTTGTCTTATTTTTTAATGAACAAAATTCAGTATATATAATGTCGGTAGCATTTCATCTCAGTAGAAATGTTAATAACTTTTCCTATACTAAATTCTTGAGCAGGGCTCGGTATATACGGCTGCTCATGTCTCCAGCATGGAGCGTTGGACGCTTGTCTTATTTTTTAATTAACAAAATTCAGTATAATGTCTGTAGCATTTTATCTCGATGGAAATGTTAATAACTTTTTTATATACGGTAGGTACTCAATTCTTGAGCAGGGCTCGGTATACATGGCTGCTCATGTCTCCAGCATGGAGCGTTGGCCGACTTGTCTTATTTTTTAATGAACAAAATTCAGTATAATGTCTGTAGCATTTCATCTCAATAGAAATGTTAATAACTTTTCCTATACTCAATTCTTGAGCAGAGCTCGGTATACACGGCTGCTCGTGTCTCCACCATGGAGCGTTGGCCGACTTGTCTAATCTCTCTGACGACAATATTTTTCAACATTCGCTCGCTCTATCCTGTGGCTTTTCCCGAAAAAACTGACGAATATCTGCCCTTTGACTTTTTGGTGACTATAAATTTACCGTTACCAACGTCTTTTTGATCTCAATAATGATAATTTTTTATAAATGATCAGCATTTTTGTATTTTGTTTATTGCAGACGCAGGGATGGTGACCATGGCGAGCAACTTGACTCTGAGCGACAGCACCGAAATGATGAAGCAGCGCATGGCGCAGCTCAATCAGTTCCGCAAAACCCGACACTTTTGTGATGTTGTGCTACAGGTGTGTACTGTGGTGTGCTACAGGTGTGTACTGTGGTGTGCTACAGGTGTACTGTGGTGTGCTACAGGTGTGTGCTGTGGTGTGCTACAGGTGTGTACTGTGGTGGTGTGCTACAGGTGCGTACTGTGGTGTGCTACAGGTGTGTACTGTGATGTACTACAGGTGTGTACTGTGGTGTGCTACAGGTGTGTACTGTGATGTGCTACAGGTGTGTACTGTGGTGTGCTACAGGTGTGTACTGTGGTGTGCTACAGGTGTGTACTATGATGTGCTACAGGTGTGTACTGTGGTGTGCTACAGGTGTGTACTGTGGTGGTGTGCTACAGGTATGTACTGTGGTGGTGTGCTACAGGTGTGTACTGTGGTGTGCTACAGGTGTGTACTGTGGTGATGTGTTACAGGCGATGTTGTGCTACAGGTGTGTAGTTATATGATGTATTACAGACGTGTACTTCAGTGATGTATTGCCTGTCTGAGTAGATTAGTGTTGTTTCATAAGTGAGCGTAATTTAGTGATATATTACAAGTGTGTTCATATAATGATGTATTACAGGCTTGTGTAGGTAGTGATGTAATACAGGTGTGTACTATAGTGATGTACTACAGGTGTGTTCTTTAGTGATGTTGTACTGTAGGTGTATGCAGTTCAGTGACGACGCTCTGCAGGTGTAAACAGTTTGAAGGTAGAAAATGTTTGCATAAAGTTTCATGGTATCTTATTGAATATCATTCATTATTGCTACTAGTTGTTTAGAAATTCCCAATTTATTACTTAAGTCAACTCCCAATGACCAAAGAACAAGCCAAAACTTAATGAGATTGATTATGCTTGAGACTCTCTTGCTAATCATCATATATCATGACTCGCTTATTGATCTTTGGTTCCTAGGATTTATTTTTTTATTCATTTAAGGTTCTATCGATCGCTCGTGTCAGGCAGTCGTTAATAAAGAACAACTGACTCACTCAAGGCCTTTCTTAGATTCATCATATGAAAAAGCTGTTATTTCTCGTTTTGAAATTGCTCTAATTGTATTCCCTGTATGATTTAGGTCTGAGCTATATTTGTGTGAAAATATCAAGAAATTAGTTCGATTCTCGGGAAAAATTCAATGCTGCGTCATCTTAATCTCATTATGTTGCCTTTTTGAATTTCTATAATCATATGGATTTTTTATGCAGATCGGAACTGCGGAAATCCATGCCCATCGTTCAGTGCTTGCTTGTGCCAGTCCGTATTTCTTCGAGCTCTTCACTACTGACGAGAGCAAGAAGACGGCTCGAGAGGATAAGGTGAGTGCCTTCCTTAGCTCTCATTATTTGCCCAGTGATCTTGCATTACTCTTCATGTTAGTATTAACAAGTAAAACTGGCTTATTCGTACGATAAAGCATTTGTTTATGAGCTTGACCTTGTATCGCTGCCTCTTCACAGGAGCATCCATAAGAAACGACTTCGTGGAGCTAGTACACTTTTTACTGACTTTTTTTACTGTGGTTGAGCTGCTTTATCACAAAATTATTGGTTACACTTACTCGTACGACGCGCGAAAGTGAAACACTAGAGGTTTGATCGCTTAAGCCCGTAATGATAAGTGTAGCAGGACTTGCTCAGCAACAATAAGGAATGTTGCATCCTAGACCTTGCTATAGTAACAACAGTTCAGTGCTCTACCGTTTAAGAACTTCTATCATCGAGTCTCCGACACAACGTATCTATCTTTTATCAGTATACTTCTAAAAGGTCACACGTGCTAATCTTCAGTTACAAGATTATGATTGCGAGCGTCTGCAAGAAAAATCTCATTTTTGTTCTGTTACGTTGTTGTCTTCTTCGTTACAGGTTCAGTCCGTGATTTACGATTATAAGCTGATGCCCGGAAAATTCTGTCTTGCTTTAATATTGGGTCTTTTATTTTATAACTGCTAATCGCGTGCTAGAGTCTTAGTGTAGGTATTTGATTTTTGCGTGCTGAAGTCTTCGTGTGTATGGCTATTGCGTGTTGTAGTTATGGAATTTTTAATTATCGACACTTTTAATTATCATTCAATATTTAATTAATAACAGTTCAGAAATATCGGTTTATCTCATACAAAGGTCTATGTGATTCTTATTTTCTTGAATTTTGTTGTCTAAACCATGACGGGATAAGTACTCTCAATGATGTCATGGAACGCTGATCTGGACATTTTAGTGCAACCTAAGAGATGTTTGATAAAGGATTAGAAAAACCTAAGTTTCAATTTGCTGTTGTTCCAGAGACTATTGGGATTTTATCAAAATGTATGACTTTTAAAATTATGAATTATGTATGAATTTGTATATTCTTATTCCTAATCATCGGTTATTTATATTCTTATTCCTAATCATGTTCGCTCAGTGAAGAGAATGAAATGTCGTGACGAATGCCGCTCTGTGCAGGTTGTGTACAAGCTGAGCGGCAGCTTCGAGCAGGAGTCCCTGGAGAAGCTGGTCAAGTTTGCCTACACAGGAGACTTGGATGTGCCAGCCAGGCTGGTCAGGCATGTCTATGTCGCTGCCAACAAACTCAGGGTGAGCCTAGCTAATGCAGAGACTAGTCACTATAGCATCACTCGGTGCAGTCACGCACAAACTCAGGGTGAGCCTAGCTAATGCAGAGAGACTAGTCACTATAGCATCACTCGGTGCAGTAACTCGTCTCTATGTTTTTTACTGTAGAGCTGCGGTTTATATACAAACGGAAGTCTCGTTACAGTTGATATCGTAGTTACATTGAATTTTCACTTCATATCTTGAGTTCGTGATCTGGATTCTTTGAAATTAACCATGTGACTGCTGCTTCCGGCGTAATTAATCACAAAGTGAGGCCATTCTTTGTAAGTGAAAATAAAGTTGGAGTATCTTTCAAATTTACTTATATATTAGTGATTGTTTCTTTTGCATTAATTGATGCTTTCATTTAACTCTTCTATAGCTTATGTATTCATGGTTATTGCTAATAACTTTTGTTGCGAACGTCATAGAAGCAATAAGTGCACCTAGCATCTTAAAGGGAATGTTTTTCTAAGACTGAAGTACGAATTTGAGAAGTTTAGAAATCCCCATCATTGTCCAATTATTGTCTGTTGCGTTAATGGGTTACACAACGCCTGGAGGGACTAGACCAGCTGTTACATATGGAAGCGCAGCCTTGGATTTCCACATTAATAATCTCTGAATTGTTCGCTGCTGGCATTGAATTTGAATTTAAATTACACTATAACTGGAAAATTATTAGTGCCTGCTTATATAAACATCAAGTGGCTATTATATTCTTTCTATCCGTTACAGGCTCGTTTTTATTATATTGCAGGGCTCTGGGCTTTTTGATCATAAATGTTATTAATAGGACTGATTGATTCAACTTTTCGATGATGCAGATGGAATTGCAGCGGCTCTGAACTTTTCATCATAAATGTTATTATCGATGCCAGTTATGGCTGTAAATTTTCACGATGCCAGTTATGGCTGTAAATTTTCACGATGCCAGTTATGGCTGTAAATTTTCACGATGCCAGTTATGGCTGTCAATTTTCAGTGATGTAATTTAACTGCGTACGCGTGGGCAGCTTGACCTGGTGCGCGTGAGCAAGGACACGGGGGGCGTGAGTCGCCTACAGGTGCGCGTGATGCAATACTCGGCAGACGACGCGTCCATCACCAGCCACGCGCTCTGCACGCTCGTGCTCGAGTGGATCCGGCGCCAGATGGAAGAGGAAGACATCACGCTCGAGTCTCTCAAGGAGAAGGTCCGTAAAATATTTAACGAAGTTTGTTTTTAATTGTGATCAAATACTGTGGATGCCGGTTTAAAATAGCGTTCAGATACTGTGGATGTCGGTTTAAAATAGCGTTATTGAGTTATTTCAAGTAGTTCGTTTGTTTTTAATTGTGATCAAATACTGTGGATGTCGGTTTAAAATAACGTTATTGAGTTATTTCAAGTAGTTCGTTTGTTTGTATCAGATATTGTGGATGACGTTTAAAATAGCGTTATTGAGTTATTTCTAGAAGGTTACTGTATAATTATGTTTGTATAAATGCCTGCAGGGCCAAGGATTAGAAACAGGACCGCGCATTGTACATGTCACCTCTTTTTTCAACTAACCCTGTATTGGGTTAGAATTCTGGCTTCATTAGAGTTAAAAAGTGTAGAAATTTGTTTCAAAAAGGTTAAAATAATGTTATGTTTGCATAACCCTGTATTGGGTTAGAATTGTCGCTTCAATGGAGTTTAAAAGTGTATAGGAATTTGTTTAAAAAAATGTAACGATATTATTATGTTCACAGAAACATCTGTTGTACTTGAACATCGATAATTCCCTGCACGACTGCAGCGACATCCGCACTGGGGACTATCAGGACTCGGAGATGGTGCAGGACTACAAGAAAATTTCCCGCAAGCTTTCCAAGACGAGCTTGAAGGTACTGCCCCTTCTCGACATCACATGATCCCTTTAACTCGAATAATTCATATATTATAGGCCTTCCAAGACAAAATTGAAGGTACTGCCTCTTCTCGCCATCACATGATCCCTTTAACTTAAGAAATTAAAATATTATTGGCTTTCCAAGACGAGCTTGAAGGTACTGTCTTCTCGTCATCACATGATCCCTTTAACTTAAATAATTCAAATATTATAGGCTTTCCAAGACGAGCTTGAAGGTACTGCCTCTTCTCCGCCATCACATGATCCCTTTAAATTGAATAATTCAAATATTATAGGGCTTCTGTTTTTAGGAGATGACATTTGTTTTATGGCAGAGTGTCTGCGGATCTTGTAAATAATTTAATTGTAAAGTGCATTCGTAGGTCTTTGCGCTGTTATAGTTAATAATGTTATAATGATCTTCGTTTTATTGCTTTGCAATTATTTCGAGATGCGTTTAAGCTAAGTCGGCAAATTTGATTGATAATTTGTAACAAATTCAATGAAATTTTCATATAAAAACGAAACAAAACATGCAGGGGCATAAAGTTGCCAATCTTGCTTATTCCCACGAAGACAAAAATTATCTATGCAAGTGCTCTGCCACTTCAGACATTCATATTCACGGTTACATTTAATAAATCTCTTTTCTTTTCCATCTTATTTCTCGGTATTTATGGCACTGGTGTGATGAATATTTACTTTGTATACATTAAATAAGTCTGTATTATTTTCCATTTTATTTCTCGGTCCTTATGGCACTGGTGTGATGAATATTTTGTATATTACAGGGGACGAAGAAAATAGTTGTGGGGCTGCACCCTGCCAAGCCGCGCATGATGCTCTACTCCCGCAGCATCTCGGACGAGGAGGACGCGCAGGACGCTGAGTGGAAGCTCATCGCTCATTCTGAAGTTACTGGTCAGTCTTTTGAAATATATTAAGTCCTGCAAACATCGCTAGATATACTTAACACGAGTCGGAAGTAAAATTAATAGCATACAGTTTCCCGAAGCCAGTCAATCTGTTAATTAGTTGAGTTATTTGTTAATCAATTCGTACGCACGTTCAAGGCTTGCACTCTCTGACGCCATTAGGGATGATATAATAATCAATTCTAAGATTTATATATGGTGAATGTCGACTTGAGTATGCTGTAGTTATGCGAGTTTATAATATTTTTCCATTGAATGTCCGTAGCTTCTATTCTTAGTTGCTTATCTACCTGTGGTTGCAGATCGCTCGTTCCTGTCGATCGTAACATTGAACGGAGTGGTCTCAGTGCTGTCCATCATGCAAGTGTCACAGCCCCCGTCGCCCACTCTACGCACGCCGCACCAGTCACGCCCTGCCAGCGTCGAGAAGGTTGACAGCTACACTCTAATCCCCCACATGGCGAGCTCCAAGTGCGGCTGCGGCGTCGATAATTTCAATGGAACTCTTCTCGTGTCCGGGGGCTACGACAGAGTTGAATGTCTGCGAGATGCTGAAGTTTATTCGCCCAAGGACAACACTTGGACGAAGTTTCCTGACATGCGACAAGGACGCGGTCGCTTTGGTCTCGCTGTTCTGGACGGCATCGCTTACGCCATCGGCGGCAGTGACGGAACACGGGAGCTCAACTCCGTCGAAGTGCTCGACGCCGATGCCAAGCGCTGGACAAATGTGGCTCAGATGCCTCTGGCGCGATCCAATGCCGGTGAGTTACTGGACTTTTTCTTCAGCTCTGAAGGAACAAAGCTCACGTATATCTGAGCATTCAAATGCTCATAATCGGATATTTTTTACTCCTGACAATTGTCTAGGGAATCGTGGACACCAGCTTGGCTTCCGAACTTTAATTCTACTTCTAAAGTGTGTGTTTATTGTGAAGGAGTGAGGAGACTCTTCCGTTCATCCTTTATTTTTTTTGTTTGGTTGAGTTTTTCTGGTTTTCGAAAGGTTTCGAGTTCAACTAAATTCTTCGTTATTGTTTTTTTTCCACAGTGTAGATAGTCTCCGTAGTCTCCGTTTTTTAATTTCTTGACTTTACCGTGGGAGTATTTAATTTTTTTATATCCTCTAATGATTCATCTCCTGTTTGCTAGCTAATATCCTTCAGCCACGCCAGTGTTCCCATCCAATATCAGTTCTCAGGGATAACCAAGTGTCTCCCGCAATGCGCAGGTCACCTTTTCTTAGCAACTTATTAGCTCTTCTATCCCTGTATTGGCTATGACTTCTGGCTTGCATTGGTGTCCTCTTTCACCAGGAAGTATTAATGCTGATAGCGTATATAATTTGAATGGCGGTGTACGACTCCATCAAAACCTCTGACGCCGGTAGGTAAATTTATGAGCTGTGCTGAGATCTTAAGTTCAAACGACTTGCACTCACAGCATCAGTAATTGCAGGGCCATCTTGAAATATGTGATAATGTGTGCATCCTAATCTCCCGGTCATGCATGAAGCTTCTCATGAACGTACGCTCATCTGCTCCCTGTTTCTCCGTGCAGGACAGCAGTCGCTGCAAGTGGGCGACAAGACTTTTTCTGTAGGTTAGGTGCTTTTTCAGAGCGCCCAACTCAAGTGATGATCATCTTATTTCAATCCAGGACTGGCATAAAATATTATTATTTTATCTTCATCTAATTTATGTCCTGGTGAGTAGCCGTGCTTCCGGAGCGTTGCAAAATAAATGCCTGATTTGTAGAAGATAAATTGTTTGCCTTTCAGCGGGGCTTCTTTTTTTTTGACAGGACGCTCATTGATAAAGACGGTGTGTTGTATCTTACTTCGTTTGAAGCTTTCCAATGCAAGTAAATATGCTAATCCTTTCATGGAACACAACAAGACTGCCATTTGTAGCTTGATCTGCCCATTTCTCTACCTTACTTGAGTAATAGAGATGCTTCTGAAGATTATTAACTCGGCTCGTGAGTACACATGATGTGTTTGAAAACAAGGTGTAGTTTTCAAATTGAAACTCGTTCTTAAATAACTCGTTTCGTTTCCGTATTGCATTAACTTTGCTCCTTATTCCATAATGAAATTATTTGCTTGCAGAGAGCCCTTTGTTGTAGCGTGTTTCCTGAGAATTTTTTGTGGCAGATTGCGGCACTGTTGTTTTTGAACGTGAAGTTCGAGTTCGAGGCAGGTTTTTGTATGAGGAGAAACTCAAACAAGTCCAAATTCTGTATTATGCCGGCGCGGGAAGGAAAGTTCTAATTTTTTTTAATCGCAGAGTGGCTGCTGCTTGCAGAAAAATTCGTTGTCAAAATTTTCTTGGATCGCAAAAGATGTGTCATTAGAAAATTTTCTGTTGGTATTGCATTGATATTTGCTTTTAATTTTACGACAGGTACTCAATGTGGTGTAGGTTTTCCCATCAATAAGGTGACTAAGGTTAAGTTTGGTGCACTTGTGATATGTTGAGTTTTAATCTTGCGGTGACTCCTCTATAGCTGATCAAGATCGTTTATTTGACGATATTTGCATTTGCTCCGAACACACCTCGAAGCCACGTTAGCCGCCTGTGCCCTTATGTTGCAGGTTTAATATAAACGATCTATTATATGAGTCACTAGACCAAGCAAATCGTTAACGTTAGCATGATTTTACAGAAATATTGAGAGCATTGGGTACAATAATCTCAGCCTAATTCTTTCTACTTGTGCAAATTGTTTGCAGTTTACAAAATTTCTGTTCAACATACAGTCGTCATTTTTATGAATACAGGTTCCCGAATTCGGTTTAGCGATTAGCGATTCAATTGTCCATTATTAGTGTTTCCACAGTTTATTCCGAGGAAAATAATTTTGATTTCAAGTTGGAAAGTCCATATTAGCATTAACAGATTCCTGGGAATTCCTAGTATGATTAAATTAACGGCTTTTGCTTTTCAGCGATCACTCTTGAACGTTTGAATTTAAGATGAACGCCCGCATCTAAGATGAGGTTTTCTGGTTATGCTTCAGGAGTGTGTAGCTTCAACGGCAAGATCTACTGCGTGGGCGGGTGCTACGGTCACGGTGGCATCAAGCAGTGCGATGTGTACGAGCCTCAGACCAACACGTGGACTACTATCGCTTCTCTCAACATCGGTAAGCTGCTCGTTTTTGTCTTATTACTTGACATGCTAACTCATGCTTTGTAGCTCATTGATATGCTTCTCGACGCTATCGATTAAATCTCTTATTCGTCGACGTTCCTTGCCACCCTCCCTGCTTTCGCCCACCTTCCTCCTCATCCGGTGCAGCCCCTCCGACCGCCACCAGAGCCTCCGCCCACGCGAGCGTGACGTTTGGCGCAAGAAACAACAAATCGCTTATTAATTAATTAATCCTACTTTAGATGGCTATAAATGCTTCCTAGGCTCTTCAGTGAGTATATACTGGACTGCAAGAAGGTTTGCAATAATATTTAGTGGTGACGTAGCAAAAACGTAATGGCATACGCTGCTAGCTGGCAGCCTGACAACCCTGAACTCACGTCGGTGGAGGTTCTTCAAGTGGTGGCCAAGCAAAGTATCAGCCATTTTATTAGCTAGGATTTACGTCATGTCGCTGCCTGGCAGTCGAGATAACTTGCTAACCTTTCATGTACGTCAGGTCGGTACCTGGCAGTCGAGGTACCGGTAACTTGCTGAAGTTTACTAACCTATAACTTGCTAACCTTTCATGCACGTCAGGTCGCTACCTGGCAGTCTAGGTAACTGGGTAACTTGCTGAAGTTTACTAACCTATAACTTGCTGACCTTTCATGTACGTCAGGTTGCTACCTGGCAGTCCAGGTACCGGTAACTTGCTGAAGTTTACTAACCTATAACTAGCTAGCCTTTCATGTACGTCAGGTCGCTACCTGGCAGTCGAGGTACCGGTAACTTGCTAAAGTTTACTAACTTATAACTTGCTAACCTTTCATGTACGTCAGGTCGGTACCAAGCTGGAGTGGCGGCCCTGGATGGCAAGGTGTACGCCGTGGGCGGCTACGACGTCCTGAATTGCCTGAGCTCGGTCGAGGTGCTGGACACGGAGCTCAACGAGTGGCGCATGGGCGCCCCCATCGGCACCGCCAGAAGAGGGCATGGACTGGCCGCCTTCAAAGGTGCCCACTCTTAGACTGTTTGATGTGATGTTGTAAAGTAGTGTCGGAAATTGTTAACTTTACTTGCATAACTTAGAGTGGGTGATTTACATGGCCTGTTTGTAAATGTTTGTTGTTACCTGTTTGTTTTTCTTGTAAAACCTGTTTGAAAAATAGCGCTCACAAGTAAGCTAACAACTCGTTATTTGTATTTGGCGTCTATATGATACTTCTTGTTTTTTCCCTTATCATTTCAAGACGCTGTATTATGTGCGTTAAAGCTTCACATTTTATTTACAAATGCAACTTTTTCAGTACACTACCGTTTACATGTACTCTAATACACTTGTGCTACGTTTGTGAAAGGTTCCTAATAGATTTATCTTCAAATACTTACCTTGAAAGCGGATCCGCTGTGGAATGTTCCCGCTCGCTTTAAACATAAATTACAAAAAATACTATGGAATATGATAAGAAACTTTGATACTACTTGCAAGTCGCTGATATCTTTCGCTGTGTGAGCAGGGAAGCTGTTCATGGTGGGCGGGTTCGACGGCAAGCAGTCGCTGTGCTCCACGGAGATCTACGACCCCGACACCAACAGCTGGTCGCCAGGCCCCTCCATGACCACATGCAGGGCGAACGTCGGCGTCGCTGTCGTCGATGGCAAGCTCTACGCTGTTGGTGGCTTCTCAGGTGAGGTTCATTCTTAACTACTACACTTGAGACCATGCCACGTTCTTATTAGGTACCGTACGGTACTATTGAAGAACTGGACGCTGAGCAGGTTCAATTAATTATAAGTAATGTATTATTCTGTGAATTGACATCGATAGTTTCCTATAAATAATGAAGTTATTCATCCCCAGGTAAGAACTTCCTGAACAGCATCGAGTATCTGGACCCGGAGACGATGGAGTGGACAAACTTTACGCCCAAGCCTGAAGGCTACAAGAGCAGGAAGACGAGCAAGAGCCTCGTGAACGGCGCCGGTGCTCAGGCCGATGAGGAATCCCGGTCAGAAACGCAGGAGGATAACTCGGCCAGCGAGCTGGACACGAGCATCCCTGAAGAAAGCATCCCTGAGGAGAGCGAACCTTCGACCTGTGGCGACACTCCTGCTGTCAACGGCATCAGAGCCATGACCACCAATGTCCACTGATGAATCTCGCCATGAGAAATGCATTATCCTCGTTGTATAAAATTTAAATTTGAATTGCTTTAGATGTGTTCGACTTTTGAGCTGACCCAGCATATTATTCTCACTCTAGATGCATAGTTTTCTCATGGTTTCCTTATTTTATGTTGTGTTCTCCAATATATCACTTCATATGTGTATCGCTTCTCAATATCCGAGCGTGATCATACAAGGTTAGATTTCTTGCGTTGGAGGCATTTGCCGACGACCTGTAGCTTGTTTTTTTACAGCTAAAGTGTCAAAAATTATTTTGCGAATAATTTGAACTTCAATTATTAAATATTCTACAGCGATGTAATTTCCAAAGTTCACATACTATTATTTTTCGTGGTACATCTTGAGGCTCCAACATGATTAATCTGGACCATCGAAAAATAATTATATGCATAATCAGTCAAGGTTGTGCTGACTAGGCTTATCATTGATATTTGTAGGTTTTATTTCAATAAAATTTCATTTGCTGAGTATTGTGGAGAGTTGGTGGATGTTCGAAGTCGTGTGAACGATGTTCTGTCAAATACGTAGGCGTGAGCTTCACAGTTTCCTGGGGCGTTACTGATGAATTTTTATTTACCATGCTTTGAGTGACGGCGTCACAACGGCTCAAGGAATTGATGCTAGGGAATGTATCAGACCTCGAATTTCTGCTTCATTTTTGATTGAGGAGGAGTAAACGTTTTAACGGGCCAGGAAAAACAATCTAAGAATAAATTTGCATTTTAAATAACAAAGATAGTTGATTTGGTGGAAAACATGCATTGGAACAAGCGAGAAAATTGCAGTAGAAATAGCTTTGTAACTGGTATGGAAATGCTATTGATGTAGGAATTGTGGCTGACAACTCGGATAAATGTAACACCATAGCCTGTTACTGCAGGCTTGCCATCTGCACAAGAGACCGCTACACTACAGACATGAACCATGTCACTAGCGACCATGTCGCGATTTCCTCCTGTCCATCTTGTTTCTGCGATTTTGACGTTCAAATGCGACCATAATTTTCGATAATTTGACTTACTAGGCGTTTGAAGAGGCATTCGTAGAAACTGTTCAGGTAAATTTTTACGTTCAAGTTAGTAAATAAATTTGCGTTTCTGCATATATATGCAATTTTAATTTTTACATTTCTTTCATTTCAACAGGAAATCATATTGAGCAAATCAACCCCGTGGAAGCACACTTGATGTTATTTAACATTCATTTCCACATCGTTAAGTGTACTTTGTAAATGTTCTGGTCGATGAATCAGGCCAGAGTAAATTACAAAATAATGGTGAAGTACCCAGTTCGGGCTTAATTTTCAATATTATGATGGGTTCACTGTTTCACATATAACACTGATAAACGCGCTTTGTTTCACAAATCACGTAAGATGAATTTTAATCTTTCAAACACCATTAGCAAGTAAAGCATTTGTTAAAGGTGAGCTGGAGTTGTTTTGAAGCTTGAAATTTCTCGATAAAACGTAGAATGATTAAATGAAATGAGCATTTATTCATATAAATGATTGCATTGTCGTGTAATTCCATACATCCCAGTAGTGAACTCAACATGTTTCACCGAAAAAAGCTTTTTGGTCAAGCAATTGTATTAGAAAGACAATAACTATATCAGTTGAGCTACCCACGTGTAAAACGATACTAAATACTTTTATTTTTGTTCTAGGTCTAACTAACCTACCGCAATGACGCTGAAAACTCGGGAATCTATGATTTTGTATTGATATTGCGACGTGTTAAATGTAACCAGATTATTCGTAGGTTTCATTCCACGGTCACATATATCGACTCCAACTAGGGCTATCGTGCATACCGTGGATCATTGCGCCCAACTTTGAGTACGATCGTCAAAAAATGTTCAGTGAAATTCCAAGCAATTGAGAGTCAAATCATTGGAGGTTCTTTTTTTAGATTTCAACTTGAAGTTTATTTTCAAAATGTCACTGGGTTCCTCAGCAATGAAATAGACATGTCATGACTGATACAGTGACTAGCACAAGCCGTGTTGCGGTTTTAGCTGGTCCCAACATTTTCGACCTGAATAAGGTAAAATTTATACTTATCACATTTACACGTTTTTTCAATATATAACACGAGGATTATAATGTTATTACAATACATATTCTTTTGAAACCGATTCTAACGCTTATTTTTCTCCACCTTGCTTCGAAATATTTGTTAAATTTTCATTTATTGTATTCTCACTTCATCTCTTAAAGTGACAATTGCTCGCATGTTCAGATCAATGACAAATGGTGCCAACATTGTTTGTGATTTGAGCAACATTAAGTGACTCAACAAGCATTGAGTGATTTGACTTTACAATCATTTTCAAAACTAACTGAATCGGCATGCCTTAATTGATAACCGATTGCATTGTCTTATCAAAATGTAACTTCCTGTTGACGCGATGTTGTTTCTTCGTGTGTTTTTCATCTGAAAAATTGCCATAAGATTACCATGATTTCTGTATTGCGATCCCTCAGTTCTATATTAACTTGTTTGTGCCACGTTCCAAGTGTTGAACTTGATAATGTGTAAGCTATCACTGCTTTATTCAGTTAATTTAGCTTGATGTGAATAAGCCTTAGATATGCATCATGAATTATATATACATTCCCGTGTCTTGTGTTAAGACAACCGCGTGCTGAATGCTGCGAGTACACTGTTTCTTGTGAAGCACTTCAGCACATTAATTAACACAAGCTTTATTATCTCTTGGAAGAATTGTGTTAAAGTATATTATATAGCTTCTATTGTGTTGAAGTTATTAAATAGGAAGTAGATGACTACTAAGTTATGTGTTCAAGCCATAGTTATTGAACCAACACACGGGATTATAAACCTGTGCTTAAATGGTGATGTTATTAAGGTTGGGATATAGGAATGAGCAGCTTGGGTTTTCTGATGTGAACTTGTCGTGGTTGGTTTATTAACTTTAATAAACTTGCACGCATACAATATTCACCTCGGTTATTGTGACCAGAAATGCCCTGTAATGAATAAATTTGTCTTTTTGAAGTGGTTTTCATTTTCAATGTAATGCCTATTTGCACATCTAAGCATTCGGGGACAGAATCGTAGCACAGTAAAATTGTCTTCGACTTCGTGCATAATAAGATGCCTAAATTAATGCTAATAGTTTTGTTAATTGAGTGGGCGGTCACTTTTACATGCACCCATAACCCTCTAATCATAGATCATCGATGCTGTAAAATTGAATAATTATATTGTTTGCAGCATAATTCTTACGAAGTGGAGACAAGGTCTATTGAAAAAAAAGTTTCTGTCAAATAAAGCCCAAAAGTTAAGGGGTCTATGGACATCGTCTAGGATACGAGATAATATTATTTACAGTAGCTCAACGATGACTGGAAAAAAAACTTGAATTCTTTGATGACATTTCATTGGAATTCATTCAAGTTCATTTCTATTTCATTAGAAAATCTGGATAACACCCCAATCGCTTATAAATTGATCATTCGGCTACTAAACTAAACACCTACTTTGCAATTCTTATAAGATTCTTGAACGGACAAATATTTTTCTAGTATCAGGATTGAGGTTATGATGGAAGAAATAATTAACCTCTTTCTATGTTATTACATTACATATATGTTTTGAAACCGATTCAAACGCCTAATTTTCTCTACCTTGCTTCGAAATATTTGTTAAATTTTTGAACTGGGACGTTCCTTATATTGATGTCAAACGCAACTTCGACTGGAGGTCGTTTAGCGATATGTCGCATCGACAATAAAGTACAATAATTTACTTAAGCACATCATATCATAACTAATCCTTTGACCACGTAACATTAATGAAGGTCTCGTAATCACATTCAGAAGACTGAATAAGTTATATTGTTCAAATTCCGACGCACTTTCTGCTCAGATACGAGCTTTAGCCGGGCAAAATTGGGTCCGGGAACACACATAGGAACGAAAAGTGCACCACCATTAGTAAAGTCTCACTCATTTCTTAGTGTGTCGTAATTTACACAAGGTCAATTTAAGTTGTGGTAATCCCTTGGAATATCTAAAGCGCGGGCAAACTCGTTGTTGTTGTTGTAATTGCCCATCCTGGTAGTGGCGACTAGAGAGGGGGGGGGGTGATAGGTCAGTTTTTCCGGGCACTTGGTGCCACTGGTAGTTCTACGACCATCACTGGCTCGCTGACCCGCCAGAACCATTTATTTATAAGTATTTTAATTTTTAACTATTTTCTTGTCAGATCATATTCTCCTTAAGTAACGTGCGCCGCATTCGATTAGGGTGACCTTGGATATAAACTTTCTCCCTCTTCATTGCACGTTAGTTGACGGGACTCGCCGTTTTCAGATAATTTTCGGGTCGGTTCGCAAGATTTTATCATTATCGTTGGCGCTCCAAGTATGAACGCGTTCAAGAACAGACTAGATAAAGCTATGGAAAAATATATGTTATGACTCGAAATGCCCAGCACCATATCGAACCCGGTGGAAGTCGAGTAGCTATTTCAAACTATCATCAGCCCTGAAAAGATCCGGTTAAATGACACCATTTTAGATCTTCTATGAACTAGTCACGAAAAGTAAAAGAATCGGCGACAGGCCACATCAGGCCTACTCTTCAGCGCCGACATCACTGATAGGTTTACAGTGCAGAGCGACCCTAAAATATCTCCCAAACTAATGAACACAGCGCGATGAAGCTTGACGCATGTATACATTAGAATGTAACGTGATATTTAAGTCATGACAATTTCGCCTTGATTTACGGGTTTCACGGCAAAAAGTTAAATAGGCTGTAAAATTGGCATGTTCGAGACAAAAATTTTTACGTGCTTCATACTCGGATGAAAATCACGATCACTAGGTTGGCAATCACTACATAAAATGCGCAACCTAAGATTAATTAATTAATTAATAAATAGCGGTTTCAGCGTTTATTAGGTGCTGCACCGACGTGCAGTGCAGTACTGCAGTGTCAGCAATAGCACGCAGTACCATGCATGGATTAACACCAAAATTATTCCATCAGCCATCCATCGTCAAGGCTGTTAAACAGTGAGTTAATAATTGAACATCTATCTATTCACTTTTTATCTATGCGTTCGTCATATCTCATATGACATCTGTTTCGTAATGTTTCATAACATTCGGGACGCCCGTTCAAAATTGCGGGACTGAATTATTTTAACGTTAACGAAATTTAATTCAGGATATTTCTAAAAACTTTTTCTAGATTTTTCCTGGATCTGTCTCGACTCGTTTCATAGTCCTGGTTCTTTTCGAAAGCACTATTCCGAGACGGAGGAGTGGCATCTGAGTAAATTAATTAACTTCGTGATTTAGTAAAGATCCCTCATCATTCATTACATGAGCTGCTTTGATTTTTCTCAAAGGAAAATAATAATTTAAATTATAATTTAATTTAAAGTCAAACAAAAGAGAGTTTATTCATAATCAGTTCACAAATCACATTTTTAAATCAATCATTTACGCTCAAAATTGAAAAGGCTCCAGGAGCATCATTTGATTCGCTGTTTTCAGCAATCAGGAAACATCAGTAATCAGATCTCCACATCAGTACTTTCCGCCGTTCATTGTTAAAAAGTTGGACTTTCTGCACCAACAATCCAACTCTTTCGACGAGGTTGTGCTCGATGCGTTAGCTTTGCAGGAAGATTCCTCCGAGTCACTCTCAGTATAAGTGCTTGCAGTTTTACAAAACGAACAGTAGTCCGTTGAGCCTTGAGTTGCGCTTTTTGAACTAAAACCTGTACTGCGTGTTTGTGAAGTCGACATGGTCGTGCTGGAACTTTCATTCGTCGAGGCCGAACTCGGGCTCGTAGTCTGACTGCCGGAAGAAGAGGTGGAATATGTGTCGCCAGTCTTGCTCTTACTCGATGAATTATTTGATGTAGAAGCGGTCCCAGAAACTGAACTCAATTTCGAGGAAGTTCTTCGAGACGAACCACTTTCTGTCGTCGATCGAGTCAGTTTATCTGACGAGTCACTGCTGACCCCTTTTCTGCTAGAGCTTGAAGATTTTTGGGTCTTGGAAGAGCTTGAGCTGCGTTTTGCCGAACTCTTCGTGTCGTCTGCTTCGGAAGACTCGTCGTCACTCAACTGCGAGCTTCGGTTCAAAGTCCTCTCTGATCGATTTCTGATTCCTGCGCTGCTGGATGCTGAATTCAGTTTCTTTTATTTGCCTCGGGAGTCTGTAGTGGATTGAGATCTTGAGGAGTGGGTTTCAGTCGTACTTGATTTACAATTAGAAGAGGCACCCGTACTTGATTTTCTTCCCATATTATCAGTAGCCGAGCAAACTGTTACGGTACTTTCACCCCCTGACCGCGAGGAGCTGCATTTCTTCTCAGATGTTGCAGATTTGCTCCCAGAAGTTTTGCATCGCGTGTTGCTCGACGATTCATTTGACTTGCTTTTCGAATCAGAAGTGCACGTTTTTCCGCTGGAAGAAAACGTTCTGGTATTACCTCCTGATGAGCAACTGCATTTGCTTTTCGATGGAGCACAGGATGAGCTTCCAGAACTTTTCTTACATCTCGTTGAGCTTGAACACGACTTAATTCCACTGTTTGTTGAGCAATATTTATTCCCCTCTGAGGTTGGCTTTGAGAAGCAACGGCGCGCTGCACAAACTGTAACTTCGCTGGTGGCTGAGCAACCGTCCGATTCATCTTCAGTTAAACTAATGCACTTCAAGCTTCGAGTTTTGCAGCTGCTTCCTGATGATGTTGTTTCAGATTTACTTTTTCCACAGGCCGCACTGCACGGGTTACCATCCAGACTTTTGCTGCTAGCACATGTCGAATCTGTGCTTTCTTCGATTTTGAATGCTGGGTGTATATATGCTCCACTGCTGCCACAGACTCGAGCGTTGATCACATTATAGTTGCATTTAGGAACTGCTTTTTCACAGTTATCAACCTTACATTTGTTGTCCACACCGCCCTTCTATAGTCGGTTTCTAGTGAAAGCTCCGGTGATCTTTTCCTTGATCATCTTCCTGCGCCTTCCCCGGCATGGATCCCGGCATCCGTCATCAGAACTGGAGCTCGAACTTGACGAAGAAGAGGTGCTTTCCTTGCAAGAATCTTCCGTTTGGTCATTGCACTCGCAGCTTTCTTTTGTACTGCTCGAGCTGCTGGTTGTTTCAGCCCCGCATAAATTGTTTCGGGTCGTCATTAAAGATTCTTCACAGCAGGCAGTTCCAAGCTGCCAATTCCTCTGTGAGTTTCCAAAGTTTCGAAGAAGTTGCGCTTTCGGTTTTTGGCTTTCCATGCTTCCGATTTTATTTCCAATTCGTAGAAGTTCGCAGTAAATTTTCAAATTGAGCTGGAAGTCGAGCTTTATACTCGCAAGTATTGTGGATACCGACGCTATATCTGTCATTTTGTGAAATATTTTTGAAATTTTTCGATTGATTCCCTTTAAAAAACACACGTTTGTGGATGCAAAATGCGTCATTTGACCATAAATTAAACTTTAATAATTAGGTCTTGCGTTTTGCCGTACAGTATTTTTTCACCTGATCAAATGCTAATTTTCTTATTCAATTGTTGATCCAAAATCGTTGCCCGAGTTCAGTAGTCTCGCGCTGTCGGACGGCAGGTATATACATTTCACTTAAACGGGGATTAGAGAAACAAAACACACAACAAGGCCTACAGCGGTATAAATACATGTCTAGGCAATGAGAGAGATGAAATTCCAAATAATTGGGAATTAAATAATGAAACTTAGCATCCACCGGAATTTGGTCGTAAAATATATACATTTACCAGCAACTAGCACCGTGCAGCTGTTCATGCTCGCTTATCAAGCATGTACGTATGTACAGTGTACACTCAAGTAAACACACACATGTACATACACACATTTAAACAAAAAAAAAAAAAACAGCACAGGAAAACTCGACGATGGTGTTTTAGATCAGATCATTTTTTTGTGATGTTAAGATAATTTTTTATCACATTTAGAATTAGTTTTCTACCATGTTAGCAAATTTATACTGGCTGAGATTATTTAATTTGCTTAGCATATATCATTAATAAAGTTAAATCGTACTCAATTTTTTCCCAATCAATCGTTACCCGCACTCTATTTTTAATGGCTGTACTCAGTTTTTCAATCAATTATTTGCACTCAATTTTTTACTGACTTTACTTAATTCCAGACTATTCACTGGAACACTTCAGTACAGAATGCAATAACACAGTTGAACCGGCATTTCGCTTTCATAAGATGAAGGGCATAAGTTTCTTTCGCTTTCACGAATCTTAGTAAAGCTAACTCCGCGTCTCCCATTTCATCGAACCTCCAACGTCTAGTGGATAGAGCAGCTGAAATAAAATACCCAACGCAGCTTCTCTAATCTTTTCGTTGCAGTTAGTGAGACCGTAAGCATTTATGCCTTGTAAAATAAACGCAGGGTAATGAGGATGGGCGAGTCTAATGGGATTCCAATGAGGATTGATGGGAATTCTTATGCAGGGAAGATGATGTGATGCCATGGTTGAATTAATACATGTATTAATTACAACCATGAGGTGCTGCTATCAGGCGATGCGGTTAAGATCATAATCCCTGATTGATATGTGGTCACCAGTGCTCAATGGTCCATTAAGGATTATATAACAACCCAGTAACTTGAGGCAGTAATGATTTAGAAAGGCTTTCATCAATACTTTCAGGAGGTTTAAACATCAACAACTTGATTTGGGGGAGCTTAACCCTGCATATAGCAACGAGAAAAACTTCTCTGAAAATGTCAGCATGTCTATACAGGTTGAAATGAAACCATTGAGTAAATTCCTGTGATTTATAATTTGTAACTTATGAAACTATTTACAACAGTCACACAGCGCCGCTGGTATATCCCTGTACATTAAATAACTGATGACGATATGGAGATGTTTTCGTAGACATTTTCGCAATTAAATTTGTACCTTGGCGGAGGTATTGTTTAATCACCTTTCTTCTCAATTGATGCAACAAAATAACTTATAACAGCTTAACAAATAACTGTAGCTTAAGCTCCACGAAAAGCATGAGTGGCACTTGTTGCAGACATAAGTCTTTGCTCACTCATTCTATGGCTGTGAAGACAAAAAGTTTTTGCTCTCCGATTGGTTCTACAATTAGCTCTGCCATTTAATATGCTGGGTAATTCACCTATCGAATGTCTAGTTTGAAAGGACATAAAACTTTAAATGAATGATATCCAAAGTCATGCCCGCACGAACAGGTTCTTTTTCGCCACTATGAAAACAATACAATCAAAAGAAAAATCATGGGTTGGATATTGAGGAAATTTACTTTAGATCCTGAGCCAGTAGAAGCCAGAGCGCAGGTTGTTGTAGTCACGCATTTGCTCGATGGGCCCAACACCGACTTGAACTGGGCACTTGTCGTAGATGTACTTGGTGCACACTTCGCGCACCACCTCCGCATTCACAGCCTGCAAACATAAGGACCATCGTTATTATCACATTTACTCATTGATGAAAATTAGGTTTTTAGTCTGTACTAATTTTGCTCAGTTGATATCCGCAATATATTGATTAGATGCAATGCATTCGAATAAGCATGAAGAATAAATATTTAACTTTTGTTTAATTAAGAATTTTCTGCTGAACAATTGTGGCCGTAGCACATGATGGATTCTTCTGCTGTAAACGAGTTAAATATAGTGTGCAAAAAGTTTAATAACAGCGTTTCCCTCGTCTTACATTCTATTTTTTTCAACATATATCAGTTGAAATTATCGTAATATAATTTATGAACAAACAGGTTCTCATGAACGGAGGATCAAAAATTGCATTTTATCATCAAACCCAACACGAACAAAACCTCTCAGAGCCATAAAATATTGTAAGAATTTACAACTATAATTTGATCCATAAAACTGACGTTCATACACATTATCACGATAATACAATAATAAAAAATACTATAACAAAATTTTCCATCTATCATTATGCACATACAGCAATCCTGGCATCCAGCTCGGAGAAGGGAATGCGGCGGCCATAGCAGAGAATTTGACGACCAATGTCCTCGCAGATGGGCGTGGTGCCGTCCAGTTGCAGCAGCATGTTGGTCCGCAACATGTTCTTGGCGCGCTCCACTTCAAAGTCGGTCACTGTCTCGCACAGCCTCATCCATTCGTGTTGAATGTTGAACACAAGGTCCTGTACACGAGAATTTTTAACAATAGAAATATAAACCATTTCCCAACACCAGGCTGCCACGAAAGCATCAAATAGGTCTTGGATAGCAGCACGGGAAAATTAAATAAGAATAGAAATATGGTGTCCCGATACCATATTTCAGGAAAATAAACATTTAAAAGAAAGGATGTTGCCGCAGATGGATAATGCGACCTTAACAGGTCGAACTTGTCAATGCACGAGTTCCACCAAGAACGCAATAATACATAATATTCATAAAATACACACTGGAACAGCAATCAATAAACATTTTGCCAAACTTTCATTGACGAAAAAAAAAATTCTGTCTAAGAGGATTAAGAAAGTAAGACAGAACATAAATAAACGACGAACGACAGGTCGAGCGATACCAGCAGTGAGACAAACGAGGAGTCAAGAAAAGGAGAGTCGCAAGAAAAAATACAAAATAGAATTTTCGACGAAGAAAGTAATTTGTTAGGAATGTCACCGTAAAATAATGAAGGTTTGAACAACAAAGAAGTGACGTCAGGAAACAACACTCACAATGATCTTCATCTTCTCAGTGACGAAGTAGATGCCCCAGAGACCCGTATCTTTGTAGCAGGTGTTGAATGACTGGTAAGAGTGAGCAAGCGATCCCTCAGTGCATGCCTGTCGTAAGAATAAAAGCTGTATACACAGGTCTGTAGTATACATTATAAACAATGGTACTCAATTTAGGAAACGCATTTATTTTAATATTTTTCAAATTGGTACATTCACTTGTTTCTATCACTTTAGTATTCAGGCACACAAGCTATTACCGGTACTCGTATAACAACGATTTCATGCTCCAATTGAATTAATAACGTAATATTATACTCAGATCTTCTGGGACATAATCAAAACGAGATATTAAATGGATGCAATTTGAACATAATAAACAGAAGGAAAATAAGATCGACAGAATTATTTTACAAGCCCTTCTTTCTCAGAAGCAAGGAGCATGAATAAAGTTTGCAGTGCATAGCAATGATGTCTCTGACACTGGCATGGTTGACTGTATTATCTTACAAATCTCAAGTTCCCTCAAACACTGAGCATGGATAAAGTTCACAGCGTTGCATTAACGTCTCTGACCTTAGCAAGGTTGACTGCAGTGTTCGACCATGAATAAAGTTCACAGCACTGTATTAAAATCTCTGACCTTAGCAAGGTTGACTGCAGTGTTCGAGCATGGATAAGTTCACAGCACTGTATTAAAATCTCTGACCTTAGCAAGGTTGACTGCAGTGTTCATGCCGCCGCCGTGCGTTCTGTCCCAGTTGCCGACGATGGTATTGGCGATCATGAGAGGGATGTTGTCAGGGTTGTTCCATCCACAGCCTTGTACGGCGATCGCCATGTACGCAAGGGGCATGTCGTCGTCACGAACACGAACCTCAGAACCTGAGTAAAAAAGTGAAAATTTCTTCAAGTAAATCAAGTTAGGTTATAATCATGATTATGCATATTTGTCCTCGAGCACATGTGCTCAGGAACTTGAGAAATAAGAAGTATGTTAATTAATAATTAATATAATCATTAACAGACATTAATAAATCAGATGGATAATGTCACAAGGATGACATAATTCCGGACCAAAATAAATAAATGTTCTTTAATTATACAATTTTCACAAAATTTTGGCCATGACAAAAAACTTACGAAAAAAATTTCAAATAATATCTGCTTTCAGGCCACGCAATTATTTCTAGTTGAATGATTAGTGACAGAAGTGAACTGATATAGGGTCATGCTTTTTAGAATTTGCGGATAGATAGCAAAAAATAAGGTGATCGGTGTCGCGCACGAGTCATTATTTACTATAAGGCGAAAATCGAGGAAAGCATTGAGTGGTGACAGTTGGAATTATCTTGTCGCTAGGTAATCCTAATTTAAATTAAGAGGTAATTAAAATTTTCGGCGTTGGTTTTATGAAAAAATTTCCTTTACTACTGCTTGATACGCGATTACAAAGCCACGTTCTCTATCATACAAAAAGCACAACCATAAGCCGAATGTTACTTAGTGACAAAAGAATCATGTGTGTATAATAATATGATGGGCAGGCTGACCAGTGTAACGGCAGTAGGAAGGCAGAGATGGGATATCCCTATGAGAGCCTGTAAGGCCTTTGAAGTGCTCCTTGGCAAGATCAGTGAGGGTATTGTGGTCCACTCCCCCAGCGCCCGCCAGCACCATGCGGGGGCCTGTGTAGTGTGCTTGGATGTAGTCCACCAAGTCGCGCCGACTAATTGACCTGAGAAATTAAGTGATATTTGAAAATATTGCGTACAACATATATACCGAATTATAAAAACTATTGCAATGGAAAAGTCTCGAGTTTACTAAGTTACCTACAGAATTTGTAATTAATATTACATATGACAGGATGAAATTAAATTTGAAGATAGATGTTCATTTTCATCAGCAGGTATTCAAGATAAAAAAATTGCATCACAAAACTACCGGTATTATATACTAGTCAGTTTAGCCCAGCATTGTCTGGGCTTAATAAATTGCTGAAATTTAAAATCCTCTCAACCCAAATGCCATTATTCTAGTAATCTCTAATTCAGCTGATAATAATAAAGCGTATGTATCCTAATTAGGTAAAGACCATTTCAAACTCGCATTTTACATAGAAAATAGGACACCAATTGTATTCTCGTTTCAAAATAAGGAAAAGACTTTTGCTTTCTATAAAATAAATTTATGTTTACCCATCGCATAATTAAATTCAAATTTTCGGTCTTATGCTATCGTCCCTTTCCTCATAACATTTCCTATTCTCCCAATAAGAATGAAATTTCAGTTTTTGGTTAATGTAATACATGATAAGTACCTATCATGGATACGCGTCAGAACAGCCTCGACCTAGTTGTGGCACCAGGCTTCAAACACTCTCACCCACCCACCCACTATGAGACTAAAAAATTTACACAAGATTTGGGCTCGTGGCAAAATGGATATTGATTGCAACCAACTTGCGGCTGCCAAATTTGAATAATTGAAGTTATAGTGTATTACAATTGGAAAAATAATTGAAACAAGAACAAAATGAAAGTTCCACATCCTTGGTAAGAAAAATTGAACTTACTGAATATTCTTAGTAGGGCCAAGAATGGTCTGGGCAAGAGGAGTGCCCTGGAAAGCAATGGCGTGCAGATGATCAAACACCACCTCCTGCATGTTGCCTTCCACCTCCTGCATCTCCCGCAGGATTACGCCGCGCTCGCGCTCAATCTCAGCCTGCACATGCAGAAAAATTTTACTGAACTAATTTCGAGATGCAGAAAAATTTTACTGCAGAACTGAACTAATTTCGAGAAACGTCAAACGTGCAGTCATGAATATGAAATCTGGAGACTCCGAAAAGTATCTGAACCGACCTCAAAATATTCCAATCGAGCAGCTTCATCTCAAGAACATCGATGAATTGAACTGGCTCCGTGACACCCATGACCACAACGTCACACCCCGGACTATACTGAGCAATGGCCATTGCAAAGAAGTGGGAGTTCTGCGAGAGACCGGTGTAATCTGTAAATTTTGCCCCAAATAAGGTTGTAGACTTCTTCATTTTTTGGATTACATTCGGGTGATTGCAGTAACAACTACGACATTGGACAGTCGTTTCTCCTCCCACCAGAGACAAGCTCACAACCAGACCAGGTCTCAAAGTATTACAATCGAGCAGCAGCATCTCAAGATCGTCGATGAATTCGACTGGCTCCGTGACACCCTTGGCAACAAAATCAAACCTCGGACTATATCGAACAATGGCTCCTGCAAAAAAGCAAGAGTTTTCCAAGAGGCCGGTGTATTCTATAAATTTTACTTCAAAGAAGGTGGTAGACTTCTTCACGTTATGGATTACATTTGGTTTATTGGAGTAACAGCTGCGACATTACACTGCTGTTTCTCCTACCACCAGAGTCAAGCTCACAACCATAGCAGGTCTCAAAGCATTATCAACAAGCAAGTTCATCTCAAAATCGTCGATGAATTCAACAGGCTTCGTGACACCCTTGACAACAACGTCAAATTCCAAACTAAGAGCAACAAAGGCCCCTGCAAAAAAATGCAGGAGTTATCCGAGAGGCCGGTGTAGTCTATAAATTTTGCTTCAAAGAAGGTTGTAGACTGCTTCATGTTTTGGACAACATCAGACAAATTGGACTAACAATCAAGACACCGAGCCGCTGTCTCGTTAGTTACCTTCAAACTGGAGGGCAGGTGAACCACGCGAGACAAGCTCACAACTAGACAGTCACTCGCATTGTGCTGAGGGTGCTCACCAGCATCGTGATCATGCAGTGGCCTGACAACAACCGACCGGCGATAGCTGAACCCCTCAACTCTACAGATTGGACTCCAGCTATCTATTTTCTGACTACCAAATTGTCTGAACTCTGGAAGAGTTTTCCGAGTAGTTTTTGGTCCAAAATTTTACTGTTGTATCTTACTTACTTATATTATGTACTAATTTCCACCAAAATGTCAATATTTAATGCCTCTTCTAACTTGAAAATGAATGTTTGTTGCATTTGAAACGTCGTTAATAAAGAAAAACTACTTCCTGAAACTTGCCTTTTGATCTACCGTCATCTGAAGAAAAGTTCCACTCCCAGATAATATAAATCAACGAATAATCTGGTCATCAATAGCACGTGTATAAAAATTTTTTACTACAGTATATATACGTATGCCTTAATCTCGGACAGTTAGAAAATTACAAATGAAACAAGACGTTCCAAATAGCCCATAATATACTACTAGTACAGCCATAATAATAGTAAAATTCAAACTTTTGTATCAAGAGGAGCCTGGAACAAACCTCGCCCAACTTGCTGTTCTGTACAATATCAGAAAGAATCTCTACAGCACGAGGAACGTCCTGGCTGAAACACTTGGCATAGAACACAGTCTGCTCCCGTGAAGTGTATGCGTTCAGATGAGCTCCCATGTTCTCCACTTCCAACTCCAAGTCAGTCTGGCTGCGCTTGTTAGTGCCCTGAAAGTTTCAATCTGTATTAATGAGTGAAAGTAAGATATTTATTTCTACAAACCTAAACTCAAAATAATTTTAGAAAGCAAAAGTACGCTGAAGACATAATTGTTTTGTTACCAGGAAAAGACTCTGAAACTTTGATGATAAATTACAAGAGCTTGGTGTTCATGTGCAAATACTGTGAACACACAGGGTCAAAGAAAGTTTGAATTTAACTAAAAACAGTAACTATCAGAATGAATGACAAGATATCGAGAAAAACAATGTAACAAAAATGAATAAGAATTATTAATGAAAAGCCTCAAAAAATGATAATAATGAAGAGAAAAATGCATAAATTGATTAATTTTCAAATCAAGATATCAATCAACTGCTTATGATGAAAAGAATGCCAGCAGAAAATCACAATTATGTTGATGATACAGAAAAACCACCTATTACTTAATTTTACCTTGAAGGCCATGTGCTCCAGAAAGTGGGCAACTCCATTGTTGCGCTCAGTTTCATGACGAGACCCGGTGTCAATCCAGAGACCAACAGTTGCAGTTGGAGCACCCGAGTCTTCAGAGGCAACTTTCATGCCATTGTCAAGGACAGTGAGTCGAGTTGCAGGCACATTCAGAACTGCTTGTTCATAATCAAGAGCAGTCGATGCAGAACGCCAGAGTGCAGGCTGCCAGAAAAAATAAATTGAATACATGAAACCAGGGTTGGCAATGATTAAATCATGTGATTAAATCACTTGATTTTCTTATAAAAAATCATGATTTTTTATTTTTTTTTATTTTCTCATATTTAAATATATTGAGTTGCAGTCTTTAATTTATATTGAGGCATTGTTATTCATGGTTTAGTATAGATGTACTATGAATCACAAATTGGTATATAAACTTGTTACCTTTAGCGTGTATTAGGTTCCAATAAATTGAATGTTTTTGGTACAGAAGCATCAAGTGTGCAATACATTGTATATAGCTAGCAGCTTAGCTAATTCTTATAAGGCTATAAGTAGTCATTAACTATTTGACTATTTGTTATAGATTGATTACAATATACAATTTAAATGTGTTAGCTAGGTTATACAGGGTGGGGCAGAACTGATTGAACAGTTTTGAGGCAAAATAAAAGAGAATGGAGGTACATGAAGAAGAAAGTTTATTTTCTTCAAGATTAGCATAACATACCATTTAAAATACTAGTGTTTTGAAAATAATATCAGGAAGATGGGGTTTGTTAGCGGCATCACACTGTTGGAGTCATTCTTGGAAGTTTTCTACAGCACGTTCACACACATGGCAAGGTATGGTCATAACCTCTGCTGCAATAATCCGTTCCCTTAGCTGTGGTAGGGTGTGAGGGTGACTTCTGAACCCCTTTCTTTTAGATGTCCCCAAAGAAAGAAATCGCAAATGCTCAAATCAGGTGACCTCGCAGGCCACTGTAAATCACCACTCAGAGTCTCGGAACATGCATTTCAAAACATTGAGTGACATTCAGGCTGTGCCCCATCCTGCTGGAACCACACATCTCCCAATGCTTCATTTTCAACAATGTTTTCCATCATGAGCTGCAAGAAATTTTGCAACTTTGCAGCATAGCAATCAGAATTCACTGTTATGGTTACTCCCTCCTCTGAGAACGACTCCAACATTGTGTTGCAGCTAACAGCCCCCATCTTCCAGATATTGTTTTCAAAACACAAGTATTTTAAGTGGTACGTTATGCTAACCTCTAGGAAAATAAACTTTCTACTTTATGTACCTACTACCTCCATTACTCTTTTATTTTAACTCAAAACTGCTCAATTGGTTCCAGGGTTGGCAATGATTAAATCAAAATGATTAAATCATGTGATTAAATCACTTGATTTTTTTATAAAAAAATCATGATTTTTTTTTATTTTTTTTGATTTTTTCATATATTTGAAAATATTGAGTGGCATTTTTTAATATATATTGAGGTATTGTTATTCACGCTTTAGTATAAATGTACTATGAATGACAAATTAGTGTGGGTTAGAACCTCTTATGGGGCCCAGCAAGTCAAGTTATCTGCAGAACATCAATCAGCTAGAGAATCAGTGTGGTGCGAACTTAATCTAAAAGGCAAAGATAGCCTCCTCATAGGCGTCGTGTATAGATCACCAAACAGTTCTTCTGATAACGATAAAATACTAAACAGTCTTTTACCTTTTTTAGCCATCCATTATGATCCATATACTGTTATTGTTAGTAGGCTAATTGCAACATAAAAAATAACACCTCAAAAATACAAAAAAAAACTGAAAAAATAAAAAAAATCAAATAAATCATGACAAAATAAAAAAAATCATTGATTTTTGATTTTTTTTATTTTTTTAAAAAAATAAAAAAAATCGCCAATTTGGATTGGTTCTGCCCCTGTGCCCCACCCTGTATATCTCTAGACTCTAGAGAGGTTGAGATTGTATTGACCTTTAAGGCAATTAGAAAGATTTTCCCCCCTAATACAAGTAGGTATTCTAATTAAAATATTTAATTTCAATCTTCAAACATGTGAATTTAAAACTAGAAACAAAACAATTATAAGACTATATATAAAATAATTAAATGAAGTAAATGGATATAAAATATTTGAATTGTGCACATGTTTATTTCAAACAGTGTTAGCTTTTCTTATAACTTAAGTCTTGCTAAGTCGTATGAGGTTTGTTTGGTTTAGTTATCGCTCAGTTTATGTTTAGTAGTAGGCCTAGTTCAAGGCTACAACTTATTTTTCATGTTAATTTTAGATGTAAACAAACCCACATTAAGTTTGTAAAATTGAGTTCAAAAACTCACAGTCAAGTGGTTGAAATAATGGGAGCAAAGTCACTAGCCTGCATGGTGGCAGGGAATTATTGTGAATACTTATGCGTTTGCAAGAGCATCGCCCGGTCCGGCTCAGCGGGGGGGCTGTCTCTTATACACATCTAGATGTGTATAAGAGACAGCTCTATGACTTGTAAGTTGTATACTATACAGTCGAATGAGTCGATAGGATTTCAAGTGGATGCCTGTCTCTTATACACATCTAGATGTGTATAAGAGACAGGTGTAGCTGTCAGCTGACTTTCTTCAGAAGTGCAAAAGCTTTTGCCGGTGAAGGTGTTTTACGATCGGTCCGTAAAGAAGCGTTGATCGGTTCAAAATGACATAAGAACAGGTTCTTTTGAATAACCTATGGATTGCCACCATGTCACTAGGTACTAGGTAGGTTATCATATGTTTAGTTTTGTTACCAGTTCATATGTTGACTCCTCTTAAAAACCAAAATCATGACATTCTTAACACTTTAACAGATATGGGATAGTAGATTAAGAAAAAAAAAAAGAAATCAAACCTTCTAGCCTTCTAGGTATTTATTATCCTGGTAGAAAATATGAAAAAATCACTTGATAGTTGATTATTATGATTAGAAATTTACAGGGAATTATAAACTAAGTCAAACTGTCAAAAGAGATGGTACAAAAATTCATAACTAATATCTCTATAGAGTAGACTAGGTAGGACTGTAGGTAGGTATGGCCCAATTCAGTAGCTAACAATATTAAGTTATGGGCTTTTCAGAATCAAGCATTGGCATCAGTTTCATTAACCTAGAAGGTTTGAGTTTGAATCTAGATAGATATTCGATTAAGAAAGAAATTATTCTTACAAGTCATTTACTGATTTAGTGCATTTCGGATGCAAAAATTTTTGATGTACCTACCTAAATAGTTTCAACATTTTATTAAAGTTTCAGCCATTCAAATCATTTCTTCATTCTTATTGTTGCTTTACTTTGCAAAATTGTGTCTTACCTGCACTGAAGAAGCTCTATTAGAATATTTAGTGAATAATTTTCCTGCAGGTCTCAATATTCTAGATGCCATCATGAACACAACCACTTCACACAGTCCTGCCGTGCTTACATCGACTGATGCCAAACTAGGCCGGTTACCATGATGCGCAAAAGAAAGCGGGATTATCAAATTATAGCAATAATAGCCAGTGCCGTTTTCCCTTTACGCTTGTTCCAAATTTATATCTATGGCTTGACAAAACTCCTAATGAGTAATTATATTTCACTGGGAAATTATTGATAAACACTTGTTAATCAAGGACGAGAAATGCTCGTTAAGCAATGCATATAATCACAGGGAATTTTACGAAAGATTGAATAACACCTTAGCGACGTAAATTATTCGGCAGAAAAAAGTGTATATAAAGCATATAGCAACAAATATTGAGATTCTTTTAGCGTAAAAATATTCAAGGACGCAATGCGGACTGTGCAGGATCAGATCAATGAAATGTATCTCTAGAAATACTGATCCAGCGATTACATAACATAAGTTACACAGCTATGTCGGGGCTAAAGAGTAGGCCTGATGTGGCCTGTCGCCAATTCTTACTTTTCGTGACTTGTTCACAGAAGATCTAAAATCGTGTCATTTGACTGGATCTCTTCAGGACTGACGATAGTTTGAAATAGCTACTAGACTCCCACCGGGTTCGATATGGTGCTAGGCATTTCAAGTCTGAACATAAATGGGCAGGGTGGCTCAGTGGTTAAAGTTCAGAGTACCAGGATTGGCGGAGAGAGGCGCGGGTTCGATCCCAGCTCTGTGCGCCAGTTTCTGGTCAGAATCGGCAAGGAGGCCGGGCGGTTAAGCATAGCGGAATTGTAGCAGTGAGTTGCGAGTTCGAGACCGCAAAATGCTGTGAATGTTCTGCGATGTTAAGAATCGGCGACAGGCCTACGGCCATAACGCTGAAACCGCTATTATATATTTTTCCATATTTCATACTCGGAGAGTCAACGACGTAATCGGGGAGGCTGTTCCACATGTCGGTGATTCGAAGCGAGAAGACATGTTTTGTTTTGGTCTTCAAATGCTTGTACAATGTGCAAATCAATTTGTTGGGCCACCGGTTTTGTGTTTTTTTTTTTTTGCCTGGAGGCGTTCTTTTCTCGGGAAAGAAAAATTAGCCGCCACGTGTAATTAACCAAGAAATATTACATATTCACAGTCGATATAACTAAAAACATCTGGATAAGAAGTGTCTTGAAATTTTAGACTCTAATACAAGCATTCAACAAACTAGATTTTGCAGTGCTAAAATAATTTTATAGCGATGCTAACACAGTACTTCCACTCTCATAAAGCGTACAAAAAGCTTCAATTGGTGGCGCAGTTCTTCTCAGCATGTGAAGAATCCCAGGAAAAAATTGCGACAAAACCCGAAAGTGTTGAACTATCATTAATGTCACTAACAATCATAAATAAATTATACATATCTTCTTACCAATCTGCACCTCGTTAAGAAGACGAACTCCGAGTATGAACGCCTTCAAGAACAGACAATAAGTCCAGCAGCTATCTCAATCAATCGTCACTTATGGAAAGAACGGGTTCCAAAGGGCGGATCCCTTGTGAGTCAAGTCAAGAAAAAAAAAAAAATCAAGAATCGGCAACAGACCATGGGCCTATTTCTCCAGTGCCGACACTTCTATTCTATTCTATCTTCAGCACTACAGTCCGAAGCTTAATCATGGCTTGGGGAGAAGGTTCTGGACGTCCCATTAAAGGCCTGATGGTACCAACAAAGCGTAGTTTACTAATGGGCTATCAAACAACTGCTTCAGAGCTCCGGTTTTTCGACTCATCGTCGCGTAAAAAGATCTCGGTAAATTTACATAATACCGTTTAGTTGAAGGAAAATTAAATAAAAACAATTTTAACGAAAACGTTTTATATTATACCAACAAATAAAACCCTCTCATAACGCATACAGTACCATATAAACAATTTATTATTAACATGCATTAAAACGAGGCTCTTCGAAATGTTTCGAGCTCGGACAATAATACCTTATGATGTATTAGAGAAGCGTATTTAATTTGCGACCCTGTTGATTATTGCAATTATGGAATGCTACTTAGGTGTACTAAAATTTGAATAATGGAATGGTACAAACTACAAATTAATAACATTTAATGCACAAGCATCTTACACAATATATTTCACTTCAGCTGCTTTGAATTCGCATATTTGGCAAGAGAACGTTTAACCCAGTTACTTCTAACGAGCAAGTTACTATGAAATGACAGCTCAATCTTCTTACAGGTATCATAAACCACACAGATTTCATTTTTGATTCCGCTAAACGAAACGCAACACTTCAAGCCACATTAAAACATACAAAAACAAATACATGCCAGTCGTATCCTACTTCAGAACTGATTCACCGATTAAATTATTTTTTGTGACAAAAGAAGTCAAGGTTTTGAGCTTCTCTCGTTGTAATTAGTTTGTTAAGGGAACTCCCGACGGCTCAGGCGGCCGCTTAGGGTGTCTTCCAGCTGCATTCTCGAGAAAAATTTTACACGGAGAACTTGTGTTGTGGTCGTTGCTGAGGAGTAATAATCGTTGCTCAAACTATCGGGACGTTACTGAAAAATTAGCTATTTTGTTTGAGCATCTACAAGAGCATTACATTAGATTTATATAAGGTGCTAAGTCTTGAATTGGAAGCACTCAAGCCAACGTACGCTCACGTATAAGGCCGTGATATTATACAACAATGACACATTATGGCGTGAACAAGTTCAGTGTCGATCCAGCATTCAGTACAGTAACAAGTTTATAATATACGTTTAGAGAGCTCAGTAGAACGACGAAGAAAGAAAATAACATTTATGTTGGGCAATAGACACGAGCGGCCTGGTGAACAAATGATCATTACCTTCGGTTCGTCTGCGTGCATATAATCTATCCAAAAAATATTCTGAAGCGATCAATTAAATGTAAATAATAATTATCCAATAGTGCAGTTTCAAGATAATATGATCGCGAGTTCTTCATATAATTTTATGCTGCATGTGAATTTTACAAGACGATAAATTATGCAAAAATAATTTTCATCATCAACCCCAAAAAATCAAGTACCGTAGGTACCATAGCTAAGCTAGAGCGCATGATGTTAAGTGTTTAATTATTAAATACGCCTGCTGTGTGAAACTTAGAATTTTGTGGTGTGCTTGCATCCAATACTCCAATTCACAGAATTACATAGTAAAATATAAAGCTCCTTCAATAAACAACGATAGACGCAAGATATAAATTCAAGTTGTATAATAACGCAAGAGTAAAGGTGTGGACAAGGATGAGAATCACTGGCGTGTTTTACGAGGCCAAAAACAAATCAGGTACGAAAAATTAGATCAGTACCGTACTCACTGCAGTGAGTGACAGAAAGAGCATTTTCTCACGTCCGTCCATCACGGACGGACGGACACCACGGACGGACGGACATGTAGAGCACAATAGCGCCTTTTTTCCATAATTGAGAAAATATGCGAAAAAGAAGCTCTGTCTCAGTAGCCAACTCTGCTAGCAGCTCGATATCTCCTCGCGCTTGATATCATACCGTTCACAAGCGAGGTGTTGACGTGTTGTCATACCAATGCTAGAAATTTAAACTCAGGCCTTATTTGAAAAGGCCATTCAGAAGGTTTATGCAGAAAAATAAAGATGTATTCGGAGCAGCTCAGATAAGCTGTGGATCTGAGTGCATCAATATCGAGTGAGCGCGCGTTGCTGCGCTACACTGAAGGCAGCACCAGCGTCACAACCGAGTTCGGTCGCGAGGGAGAGCACCAGCGTCACAACCGAGTTCGGTCGCGAGGGAGAGCACCAGCGTCACAACCGAGTTCGGTCGCGAGGGAGAGCACCAGCGTCACAACAGAGTTCGGTCGCGAGGGAGAGCACCAGCGTCACAAGAGAGTTCGGTCGCGAGGCACGACAACATCGTACGGCAATCGTTAAATCCAGCAATCGTGCGATCAAGTGGAGATCGCGCTACAGCTACAAGTCATTTAGTAAAATACTCCTGGCCCTTTGAAAGAGAACTAAAATTGAATCGTCCCGAGGAGAATATAGTTAACAGATGGCACGGTCGTTACACGATGGTGGCACGTTAAGTCCTCAATATTTTTTCTTTTTCGATTTGGCAAAATGGTCAGGTGCATTCCACAGAATTGACAATGAGAAGACTCCAAACACAAAAGTCTGTATCATCCACAGAAGTGAAGTCAGTAGCGTAAGTCCATACCGGAAACTGAGAATCAAGGCCACAATGCTCTCACACACATGGATCCCAATTGTAGTCCACATCCTGAAACACAATAGCAATAACTACAAGCGTTCATGGGTTATTTTCAGATATATCTCTTTACGCTAATAAAGGAATCATTGATGTGGTAAAGCCTGGAGTACATCTGATAGAACTCTTTGAAGAATTTCAACTTGTGAGATGACAAATTATGAGATGAACTGAAAAATATCATGAACAAAAAGATATGTTAAAATTAATCGAACAAAAAGAGTATATAAATGCAGCATGGTTATACCAGAATAAAAATAAATTATTATTTATAATAATATTTATTATTCTGGTATTATTTATACCAGAAAAAAAATTATACCAGCTTAAGGAGTGAGTGTATAATTTAAATCCTGTAATACAATGGTCATTTTGAATGTATTTTAGTTCTTTTGGGTCCAGGATAAAAAACTAATCCATCATAAGAAACCAACTACAAATTTCACAAACCTAATTCCAGAATGCATGCAGAATTGAGGAAAAATACATGAGTTATATGAAGACAGATATTTGATAATGAATACTAAACTCCAATATTATGAAAACAATAAATAATACTAATACTAATACTAATATGAAAAAACAAAAAAATAATAAAAATAACTATAACTATTTTCTTTCAATGTCTCCTATTAAATTTGAGTACTTTTCATTTCTGAAATTTGCTCTGAACTCACCCTAAGTTGATCCAAAAAGCAAAGTGGGCATCACAATACACAATGACATCAGCAATGGGGCTGATGACAAATGATGGAATTTCTTTGGGTGATAACCAAACAAACTGAAAAAAAAAATATATATATATATAGGTATATATTTTAGAACAAAAACATTATTACCATTGATCATATCTCGATTATGAATTTGTAAAATTTTGGGAGTTTACTTAATTCATGGAAATATATATGGGTGATTGGGCACATATTCTCAATAATTATGGTGTTAGGACATAACCTATAAATTTAATTTTTAAGGTGGAGTTGCAACTCACTGAAAATGGGAGGTTGCATTAGAGAATTGTTATATGATTTAAACTTGTAATATAAGACTGGATAGAAAATCAGGAATCTAAGTTTAATTTCATGAAGAAGTTTAATTGGGATTCTGTGTTGAATGTAGATTTGAATTTTACTCCTCTTATTATAATAATTAGTCAGAAAATATCAGATGGAAATATTTACTAAATTACTATATTAAATGGGATGGGATTCTAAAAATTCATGGATTATATATTTATCTGTGGCAGCAACATGTTAGCCTACTAGAAATGAGATAGTGTGCCTAATTGTTTACTTGAAACAAAAAAGTTGCACAAATATTTAAATTGGAATTTGATTAAGTCTAAATTTTAGAGATTTAGAATTACTGAAATCTATCAAGAGCAAAAATTTTTAATAATGATGGAAAGACCTCAGAAAGAGACAAGAAATAATGATAATTAGCAGAATAAGAAGACCTTATATCTATACATGAATAAAAAATAATTGAGGAATGGCATATTGCACAGATAACTAACTTTTTTATACAGATGCTTATTATTATGATTTTTAATAACAATATTTCAACTTACATAGAAGAATGGTGTAGCAATTGCCATCAAAATGAAACCAAACAGTGATGGTAGCTTAAAAAATGTTGATGGAACTCTAGAGCCTTTACTCGCCATGGCAATGTTTATTAAGAAATAATTATTGGCTGAAACTGCAGGGGATAGATGAATATAAATACATCCTTACTCTATTAGCACAAAGGATTTTTTGCAATCACTGAACAAGTATGAAGGACTTTTCCATAAGCATATACCAACAATATTAGTTAAGTACAGCATACAATAGATTAGCAATTAGCACAATACTCAAAATGAAGGTAATATGGAAAACAAATAGTTTACATATGCTTAGCCACATTTCCTTGTGTGAAAATTACATACAGATAAATGGAGATAAAAAATCACAAACTTCTTTGTGATCTCGGCTACTTGGGTGGAAACTTTTGAAACCTACCTACCTGCCCTTGAGTGCCAGTGGTCATGATGGCGCCAATTAGGAGTAGGCAACCAAAAGAGTGTTTAACACGTTGGCCGCGATGTGCGCCATATATGTACACGCTGTACTTCTCAAAATCGCGATGTGTACACATGTGGTACATTCATATGAAAAATACATATTTTTATAAAATCTTATTACTCTTTCAAATTTAAAATTTCAATGATGCTATTAAATAGGCATGTTAGGGAATGCTTTGAAGTCAACTACTGCTTAGAGAAATAGTTTTATTGTCAAATGCAAGTAATACAAAAATTACGAAATTTGTGTCCATTGATGAAAGCGATATATGTATCTATCTTTGCATGAAAACAAAATAAAATATTTTTTTATTTATCTGAAACTACAACACTGGGTGTTGTCAACATCACCCAATGTTGGCAGTACGTGATTGAAAAACAATTATCGCACATGTATGGTTTTCCTTCACAGTCATCAAAATATTTTTGTACCCTTCGCGTTTCACCTTTGCTACGGCACTTCCCTCATTTGCTGAGAGTATGTTGTAGCATTCATGGCAGCGCATCCTGGCTTTAGTTCAAGTTGGTTCAATGAAAGTGGGCTGTCCTCTGTCCCACTCGATAATTTGAGATATACATCCTGATTTTTCTCTTTCTCTGAAATGCTGCTTGTAACAGAAGCTAAAGACAATATATACAATGAATGATCTCTATAAGGTAAATATAACTGAACTAACAATGTAAATACCCTCAATTTTATTCAGGATTATGAAAACCTGGACACCAATCTCTTTCCATAGTAATTTCCATGCGTAATATACATCGTTCACAAAAAGCTAAGAGATACCAGTAGTCATTATGTGTGCAATTGTGACTCAAAACTAATGTAGATTTCTTGTGCGCATCACTCACAGTGATAAAAGCGATAACTTTAGGCGTTTTTCCGCAATATGAGCCATAGATGCATGTCTTTGCTTGGTACACATCACTCGCAGTATTAGAAGTGATTACGATAGGCGGCGTGAGCCAATATGAGCCACAACAGGCATGGCTTCATTTGGTACACATCGGCAGGAATAATGACGAATTTCAACCCTGAGCAATGTGCACCAAATGCGGCCACGAATTTTACGTGACACAATGACAGAACATACCCCTGCAGAGCTGCACACAACTTTTCTCCTTGCTATCTGCCGGGTAACTGAAGATATACAAGTTTGAACCTATCGCCCGTACGGCATTCGGGCCAAATCAGCAATCGCGGCCAACGTGCAATCGCGGCCAACGTGCAATCGCGGCCAACGTGATTGATGGCATCTTTATTTGATCTGTTCAGGCCATTATAAAAGAAAACAAATGGTGGATGGGCTATGGGCTGGAGGCAAGGGCACGGTCATAGGAGCTGTAAGCTTGCAAGGTTCTGGTGAGCTGACAGGGAAAACTACCAATTCAGTGTGGAGATGGTCCATTGACCTTATTTTGTGGTATGCAGTGGCTACATTCAGAAATGAATTTTGAATGGTTAGTACAGTCTTAGTAGGTTTGGCAAAACAAGGCAGAGGAGTTCTAAAGCCTGCATATTTCATATTAGGGCATATGATGCTCATGCCAGGGTATTTAGAAAGCTAATGTGGAAATTACGGTTGTGTGCTCCTATATTGCTCCATTTCACAATGAGAACTAGGTGCCCAGGTCAAGAGAGGAAGAGAAGTCCTTCTGTAATTTGGAGCATAGATAACGCTTGACACAAATGGCATAAGTGAGGCATCCAGGATGTCTCTCACTCTCAGGGTCAATTTGTCTCCATTCAAGGTGGAGGCAGCTGGCAGGGATCTCTTGAAAGCAGCCTCAGAGGCAGGCCAGTCAGCTTGGTCGAATCTAACAAATTTGTAAGCTGATTGGACTCATTGGGGGCTGGAAATAGCACAGGCACACTAAGTAAGTACATCAAGTAAATCAGAATTGAGAGGTGGTTCAAGTTTCTGGCGTTATGGATATGGTACTAATGGTAGGCCCTGGATATAGCAAGCAGTGAAGCAGAAGATGTGCACTAATTATGGTAAAATCTGGTGAAGAGACACGCAAATGTTAGAGTTAGAGAAGGCCAGTTGGTGGGTAGCTGGGGCCGGGAGACATAAAAATGTTGATGATGCACTGGACTGACTGGAGAAAGCCGCTTGAAAATCAAAGTGGTGAAGGGTGTAGCTTCCATGATATGACTGCTGTTTATAAGTAAGTTAATGTAGGGCAGGACTACCAGGACCGTAGGACGTGGTGCCGTGGTGTAAATGATGTACAGGTAGGTGCAAAGATTAAATTAGCTAGGGTGCTAGGCTACTAGTGGCATGTATAAGTATAAAGTACTATCTAGCCTGCTGAGTAGAGCCTAGAGCCAGAGGCATATATCATAATTTCACAAAGGACTGGCAGTCTGGGGCTGAACAATACAACTCTTGAAGTTCCAGGAATCCAGGGCCTGCATGATGCATCAGGAGCAGTTCGAGCAGACTCAGCAGAGAAAGAAATATCATGCCTAGTTACAGAAAAATAAGTCAAAGGGGTCCCTCACCCTCACTCAGGAAAGTGAGTGACCAAAGTAAAGAATCTGTTGCGTCATTAGCCTCAATCATTAGGTGCCGCCTAAATGCCTATTTTAGAGGGGCTTCAAAGTTCAACTTGGTATGGTTCAAAATTTCAAGGTTGTACAGACTACAGAGCCTCAGAGGCTCAGACTAACAAAGGCCTCAGCAGCTCTGCTGACCAAGTGATCATCACTTAATTTCTTTAGAGAAGGCCAATCAAAAAGGACCATTATAAGTCCAGAAGCACATTTGACTTGAAAATCGGTCGAAAGTTTGGCCACTGAAGATGCTGGTTGCAGCAATAATAATAATATAACAATAGTAGCAGACTAGCGGTTTCAGCGTTTATTAGGCCATCTGCCTGTGAGGCTGTGGCCGATTCTAAACATCATATAATTATAATAATATTCTCAGCTTGTTGTGGTCTCAAACACGCAAGTCGCAACTTGCTGCTCCAATTCTGCTTTGCTAAACCGCCCGGCCTCCTCGCCTTCGCTGATTATCTTTCAAAAATCGCTAGTGTCGAATCGGTCCAAGCTGTGGACTACTCTCCGAGTACTCTGAACTGTCACTGACCTGACAGTACTGTAAGTGTTTAAAGTGTAAGACAGTGTAAGTCTGTAACCACACCACTGAGTCACCATGCTCATGATAAGAAAATACCTCCTGGACAAAAACGACGTCTCGGACAAAAACGCGGCCTCTCTCACGGCCGGTCTCGCGGCCGTGATTCCAAATTCAGTGAGCGTAGAATATCTCGCAAAATACTGAACGTAGCTTGATGAAACTTGGTACACATAATCATTAGAGCCTAACGGTGATGTTTAGCTCGTGACAATTTTTCAGAATTCGCCTTCATTACACGCGTGGGACTCGAAAAAAAGTTTCGAAAGAAATCACTAAAACAAAATCCCGCACTTTAATTCAAATCTGTACAGTACTTTAGAAGAAATGTCACGCTCACTGCAATTTTCACCACGTATATTCATATAACTCAGGAATGAAGGCGAAATTCGAAAAATTGTTACGAGCTAAACATCACCGTTAGGCTCTAATGATTATGTGTACCAAGTTTCATCAAGCTACGTTCAGTATTTAGCGAGATATTCCACGCTCACTGAATTTGGAGTCCGGCCGTGAGAGAGGCCGCGTTTTTGTCCGAGACGTACAAAAACGTGGCCTGTCTCACGGCATTTTGTTGCCTTGTCGAATGATATCAGCTATATCTTGATCAAAATATGATCATATTTTGCCATGGACGAAACATGATGAGCTAAACGTTACTTATGCTTGCAATTGCGCAGTAATTCGGATATTTTGAAAACACAAATCAGAACCATTTGTGTAACTACTTCTGTTCTGCATTATTCATCTAAATGATAGAATATGTAGGCTCAGAATAGAACTTTAGAGAATATTTATCAACAAGATTAGACCTAATTATGAAATTTCCGCCACTGCGGACGGTCCGGGTTCTTTAGAGCTCCTGCAATTGTTTGTCGTGCTGACGGGCATGGTTGTTGAATTTGGGAACATTTGTCTGGACCCAGGAGCAGGGCTCTCTGTGTCTCTTCATCCTGGCTCTTCCTCTGCTCTACTAGCTCATAGGCTAGAATTTACTTACCCCGACCATGTTCAGATATACACAGATGGTTCACGCTCAGCGCCATGGTCACTGGTCAGGAAGATGTGCCAGCCTGCCAGGTGCGCGGGAATTTATATTGTCATTTTAACGACCTGCGCGGTGCGCCGTACTATGCCGGTAAAAAAAAATGCACCGTGCGCCGACAGCGCCGTACTTTTAGAAAGCTAAAATAGTTTTAATATGGACGCGCGGCAATGCAAATTACGTAATCACACTGACTGCACACACAAACGTGTATCCGCACTGTGTTGTGGTTGGATACGAGTTAACTAGATTGCTACCGCGTAAACTCAGGACTCAGGTTCTAAGAGTCAGCACAGTACCTAATGAATATTCATTCATAGATCACAATTCAATCAGACATGAATTACAGAACTAAAGTAAAGAAGGCAACATGGCTTTAGATGTGCCATCGGTGCCAAATACAAATGCCAACTATACATCGGTGCCGACTATACAAATTAGGTCAATATGGCATAATTACAGAGCGTAATTATGCTATGTGATACATAATATGAATATATATATATTTGCAAGATAAGTCAATGGTCTGTCTGCTGTCGTTTATTTTTGCTTCATTTGAGCAATAATGGTTTCCAAATCTGGGTGCATATGTTATGTCATGTGTACTTTGAATGCATAGTGGCAAACCAGAGATTTTTTAGAATCAGTTCATTTTT